CCCCCCCCCCCCCCTTCCCCCGGGACATGCATGTAGTGACTGTGTATCAGGGCTTAAAAAAAGTCCTGTCTGGTAGGCCTGGAAATAGCCTCCCACCCAGGCATTTTTAGTGGAGCTCGTATTTTGTCCCTCCCCACAAATGCCTGCTCAACCGAGAACAACATTCCTTTGCCATTGTGTTATTTGTGTGGTAAGTGACCAATCAACAGTTTTGAAATAAAGTGATGACATGCTAAACATGACTCATAACCTCACGGCAGTGTAAAAACGTGACTCCAGAGTTACCTTTTTCCTTCTTTTTTTCCTTCAGTAACGTTGTGCAGTGCGCAGAGCATTCTTAAATCTGACTGAATCTTACTTTTGAAGCTCTGCGTCTAACATTAATCAGAGGTCATAAATCTTTCCCGGTGTTTCATGCAGATTGAGTAATTATAGGGTTACCCTGAGGTCAAGGTCAACTTTCCAGAATTTGGAAAGTACCATGTGATTGGCTAAGCTTGGGAAAGGAATATTGTTCTCGGTTAAGCAGGCGTTTGTGGGGAGGGACGAAATATGAGCTCCCCTAAAAATGCCTGCGTGCAAGGTTAATTGCACAAAGGACAAGCTGAATTTTTGAACCCTTTGTGTCTGCCTATTTTTAGGGGTAAGAGGAGTATTCTGCAGTTAAACCCAGTAACCCAATTTTTGTAGAATTCCATCCTACACAGAGAACATGGAAACGCAAAGGTTCTATTTGGTAAATACGGTCAACTCCTGATAACTCAAACCTTCTTGGGAGGTAGAAAAAAGTTTGAGTTATGGGGAGTTTGAATTATTGAGAGGTCGAAGTAAATAACTGGAAATAAGCAAATAAGGAAATGGGATGGAAACAGAATACAAGTATCGTGCACACTTCACCTCATGGACTCTCACCAAAGCTTGATTAATTAAGGTACAGGGCAGGACACTGTAATTGAGTTGGTTCGAGTTAGCAAGGGCTCAAGCTATTGGGAGTTGACTGCATTCTTATTCAAACATGTGCCTGATTTATTGAATTGGGCAGTACAGTATTAAGCCATTTTTAACTCCACTGTTTAGATGCTGTCAAGAAACTATTGATCAGTGAATCACAGGTTGAAATTTATCTCCGTGGTCATCCCCTTGGAACAACTGATGCCACGCAAACCAGGAAAGATTTAGAGAATGCTGTTACAAACCTTACAAAACTGGTTACTCAAGATAAACTGGGAAAGGTATAGTACATGTAATATATTGCCATAAGTGTTCACCCAATTGAAAATGGATGATTTAGTGGTCGCTTACAGGAGGTGGCCGCTTACCAAAATCAACAAACAAGGGTTTTCTTATGGGAAGAGGTATCAATAATGTGTTTTTTGGATGATGATTTATGACCTGCAGTTTATAAAGTACGGTTCCATGTCGTCACTGAAAGTTCTTGTTATACTCTGAGTGGCATAGTACATATGCAGTGAACAGAGACCACTTCATGAGTCAAGTTGTTGCTTATTAGAGGTTAAAAACATTGGAAAACAATAAGACCATCAGGCCAAAAAGAGATGGGTGGTTTTATGACAGTACAATGTGTTGTTGGATTAACAAATGAAATTGCAGTCCAATTCAGTTACATTTCCTTCTTGTAAACAGGCAGAAAGAACACAAGAGGCCTTACTTCTTCTCTGTAAAGTTCACTTCATGATGGAAGACTTTCACAGTTGTGTCAAATACTGTAACCAAGCAGGTGCTGACGATATCTACATTGACTCACAGTCTAAACGAAAATCAAAACTGGTTGCTGATGGATTTGCATACAAAGGTAATTAACACGGGTCAGTGGACAAAACACTGACCCCCAGTCCATGGACTACCCCCATGGACTACGGACTACCCTAAAATGGACTACACTGCTGAAGTTTAGTGATTAGTGTTAGGAAACTGAGTGAATCAAGTTTCAGGTCAGTTGTCCCAGTACATGTATAAGGACTTTAAATGGAACCTGATTCACTCAGTTTCCTAACCCTAATGACTTAACGTCAGTGGCATAGTCCATTTTAGGGTAGTCCATATGGGTAGTCCATGGGGGTAGTCCATGGACCGGGGGTCAGTGGTTTGAATTTATTTACGTTATAAACTGGAAAAGTCAATTGCTTTGAGGTGCCTCTGGAACTCTGGCCATGGGGAAATGCGTCTTAAGGAACTGATTGCCGCTGATAATAGCATTTAATTTTGTATTAGTAAAACGAGTAAAAGAACTTTCCACCTAAATATTTGTATTATTGATATAAAGTATTTTGTATCTTCAGCTATGGCCCTTGAGCAACTCCAGAAGGCTGGAGAGTCTTCTGTCAGTGATGATGACATCATTTCTTGTTATGAATGTGCTGGTGATATTGGGCTGTGGCTCATGACTGATCAGATCAGGCTCGAAAATCAAAGACAAGCCTAGAAAACGATATAGAACGCTCGCGATGGGAAGAAAAATGGGAGCTTACCCCGAAACTGGTGGAGCAACTGTCGAGTAGAACTACAACAGAATCCAGCGTAGGTGAGATTTATTGTCAAAAACCTGACAGAAAAAAATGAAAGAAAATGGTTTAAAATGTATGCGCCTGAGGCGAAAATAGTGATTTAGAAGTGGTAGAAAGCGTCATGCAAGTTCTGAGGTTGACCATGATAGTATCACTTGGAGATCACAATCACAAAATTAATTTGAGCTTAATGTAAATTTACAGCAACTATAGCCTGCTAGAACGTAGCTGTTGTGTTTAAATTGACAGTGCATTCAATTCCCAAAACCCATGTGCTGCAAGATCACAGTTAGCTAGCAGTGTACATGTGTAGTGACTGCAGATACCGTGCACAAGCTGTATTCCTAAAAGAGATAAATCTAAATCTAAATTGATAAGTGAAAAATCCGCAAAGAGGATTGCCCATCACCATGGGTATACTTTTGGTGCAGACTATCTTTTTTGTACTTCTTCTATCTACATGCCTAAAGAGGGAAAAATAGGCATTACATGTACATGCTATTCTCAGTGAATATCAAAGTGGATATGCAATATACATGTGTGAGAAAATAATATAAGACCTACATGTCCTATTTAATCTATTGGATACCTGAATACCCAGCTATTTTGACTTGAATATGCAGATATACTGTACATACATGTAGTGACCGTGTATCAAGGCTTAAAAATAGTCCTGTCTGGTGGGCCTGGAAATAGCCTCCCACGCAGGCATTTTTAGTGAAGCTCGTATTTTGTCCCTCCCCAGAAACGCCTGCTCAACCGAGAACAACATTCCTTTCCCATTGTTTTATTTGTGTGGTAAGTGACCAATCAACAGTTTTTAAATAAAGTGATGACAGGCTAAACGCGACTCATAACCTTAGCAGGGCTGGAAATTAACTTTTCGGATAACTAACCCTTCGGGTTAGTGGGAGTAAATTTTACTCACTAAATTATAAAGTTTATTATCCAAGAATCTGTTCTTGAAATAACAATATATTTTAACGATTAAATTTAGTTCTAATAAATGAGGCAAACTAATGTGTGGATGGATTAATTCAAATTACATGATGATCTGCAAAATGAAATAATATAGAAGATAAATCTATTTAGTGCTCATATACATTTTCCTTTCAATTACATTACGGAAGGACGGGAAATTCACCATAAAGACTGCAAAATGTTGTTTGTTAAGAATCATCGAACTGCAGCCAAGTGAATGCCTTTTCGAATTCTTAGTGGAAAGTTCTTCCTTTCTTCATACGGCCTCTGCGCGGAAGCCTTCTGTAGTGCTTGAAACTGTTCTTCTTCTTTGTCATTATTCTTGATCTTCTATTTCCTGTTCACAAATTTTAGGCGGCGACCTTTTCCTGAAATTGCTATCCAAAGATCTCTGACTCTAATTTGTATAATAAATAGGTTGCATGATGCGAACAAACCACTTGTGCTGTGTCCAGATCTCCCCATACAACAGAAGCCTGGTTATCTGGCATTCTGTGAAATGCGCATTTTTCGGGTAGTTCAATTACGCTTGTAAGCATATCTTTTAGAACAATAAACTGTTTGAGAGATAACAAAATGTTAGGCAAAAAAGAAACGGGCGTAAGATTTTACTAACCGTTTCGGGATAGTAAGGCTCATTTTAGTAATCATACATTAGAAACTACTAACCATTGGTTAATGGGATACCGTTAATTTCGAGCCCTGCTCTTGGTAGTGTAAAAATGTGACTCCAGAGTTACCTTTTTCCTTCTTTTTTTTCCTTCGCTAAGGTTTTGCAATGCATGGAGTATTCTTAAATCTGACTAAATCTTACTTTTGCTGCTCTGAGTCTAACATTAATTAGAGGTCATAAAGCTTTCCCAGTGTTTCATGCAGATTGAATAATTATCGGGTTACCCTGAGGTCAAAGTCAACTTTCCAGAATTTGGCAAGTACCATGTGATTGGCTAAGCTTGGGAAAGGAATATTGTTCTCGGTTAAGCAGGCGTTTGTGGGGAGGGATGAGATAGGAGCTCCCCTAAAAATGCCTGCGTGCAAGGTTAATTGCACAAAGGACAAGCTGAATTTTTTAACCCTATGTGCCTGCCTATTTTTAGTGGTAAGAGGAGTATTCTGCAGTTAAACCCAGCATTAATTTTTATAGAACTCATCCTACACAGAGAGCATGGAAAGGCAAAGGTTCCACTTGGTAAATATGGTCAACTCCTGTTAACTCAAACCTTCAAGGGAGGTGGAAAAAAGTTTGAGTTATGCCAGGAGAGTTTGAGTTATCGGAAGGTCGAATTAAATAACTGGAAATAAGCAAATGGGGTGGAAAAGGAATAAAAGTATCATGCACACTTCACCTCATGGACTCTCAACAAAGCTTGATTAGGGTAGGACACTGTAATTGAGTTGGTTCGAGTTAGCAAGGGTTCAAGCTATCGGGAGTTGACTGCATTCTTATTCAAACATGTGTCTGCTTTATGAAATTGGACAGTACAATATTAAGCTATTTTTAATTCCACTGTTTAGATGCTGTCAAGAAACTATTGATCAGTGAATCACAGGTTGAAATTTACCTCCGTGGTCATCCCCTTGGAACAACTGATGCCACACAAACAAGGAAAGATTTAGAGAATGCTGTTACAAACCTTACAAAACTGGTTACTCAAGATAAACTGGGAAAGGTATAGTACATGTAATATATTGCCTTAAGTGTTCACCCAATTGAAAATCGATAATTTAGTGGTCACTCACAGGAGGTGGCAGCTTACCAAAATCAACAAACAAGGGGTTTCTTATGGGAAGAGGTATCAATAATGTGTTTTTTGGATGATGATTTATGACCTGCAGTTTATAAAGTATGGTTCCATGTCATCGCTGAAAGTTCTTATTATACTCTGAGTGGCGTAGTACATGTGCAGTGAACAGAGACCACTTCGTGAGTCAAGTTGTTGCTTATTAGAGGTTAAAAACATGGGAAAACAATAAGACCGTCAGGCCAAAAAGTGATGGGTGGTTTATGACAGTACAATGTCTTGTTGGATTAACAAATTGCAGTCCAATTCAGTTACATGTCCTTCTTGTAAGCAGGCAGAAAGAACACAAGAGGCCTTACTTCTTCTCTGTAAAGTTCACTTCGTGATGGAAGACTTTCACAGTTGTGTCAAATACTGTAACCAAGCAGGTGCTGATGATATCTACATTGACTCACAGTCTAAACGAAAATCAAAACTGGTTGCTGATGGATTTGCATACAAAGGTAATTAACATGGGTGGTGGACAAAACACTGACCCCCAGTCCATGGACTACCCCCATGGACTACGGACTACCCTAAAATGCACTAGTGATTAGGGTTAAGAAACTGAGTGAATCAAGTTTCAGGTCAGTTTTCCCAGTATAAGGACGCTAAATGGAACCTGATTCACTCAGTTTCCTAACCCTAATGACTTAACGTCAGTGGCACAGTCCATTTTAGGGTAGTCCATATGGGTAGTCCATGGGGGTAGTCCATGGACCGGGGGTCAGTGGTTTGAATTTATTACTGGGGCCTAGCCGAAGGCTGGCACCGGTCATAAAATGCAACGCGTTTCTGTGTTTTCAAAGTTACATTGTTAGGGATATATCGCTGACTGAGATATATCGCTGGCTCGTTACTTTTGGGAGTGTTCGCTGAGATATATCGCTGCCGTCATAAATTTGAAGTAGGGAGCAATAACTGTAACCATGTAAATATCAATTCGATTAGTTTGCACACGGAATGGTTTAATGCGACTATATTTACCACTTATCAATAGATGAGATCCCTGTCTATTGCAAAATATTGTTACAGTATTCATCCTAGCGATGACAAGGCTTGGTGGACGTAGAACTGTGTACACTACGACAAAGCAAAAATCTTAACTTATTAAACTTGCATGCGCCAAGCTTTGTTTATGCGTTTCAATACCTTACAATTCGCACTCCCTACAGGAAACTTCGTCAAATATTTTTCGACAAACAATTAAAACTCATTAGGAGGAAGTCTATCACTGCTTTGACTTATGAAGCAACAAAACAAAATATTTTCAAATAACCTTTGTCACGCAATATTTACGTTAGCGAGATGCGCAAATTCTCAACTGTTCAAAATGCGGGATTCCCTAACATTTTGTCTTTTCACATTATTCATTAGACGTTGATGTACAATTTGTACGTTTTTCTCCTTGGTATTCTTAGCTACTTTGGATTCTTGTTGCTAAGAAATATCTTATTATTATGTAATCGATCTGAACACGTGAGAAAAACTGCGTAACTTGACAGCCTAGGATTGGGAGTTGACATTATTCATTACACCTTGTTTTCATCTCTAAAGAATATTTGCAATAAAAAAGATTTTCATGTCGCCCTACAAACTTGTTGATGAAAACGACCCTTCCACGTGGGTTGCCAAGACAAAAGTGGCCCCGGTAAAATTCACGAAGTGATTCTTGTTTACGTTATAAACTGGAAAAGTCAATTGCTTTGAGGTGCCTCTGGAACTCTGGCCATGGGGAAATGCATCTTAAGGAACAGATTGCTGCTGATAATAGCATTTAATTTTGTATTAGTAAAACAAGTAAAAGAACTTTCCACCTAAATATTTGTATTATTGATATAAAGTATTTTGTATCTTCAGCTATGGCCCTTGAGCAACTTCAGAAGGCTGGGGAGTCTTCTGTCAGTGATGATGACATTATTTCTTGTTATGAATGTGCTGGTGATATTGGGCTGTGGCTCATGACTGATCAGATCGTCTTGTCAAGAGGGGCAGCGACTGCACAGGTTATGCCCCTTGGAAGAACACTGGAGGTAGCTCTTCAGCGGTCTCCAATACTTCTCATTAAGAATGGGTAAGAAAAAATTATCATAACATCTAAATGTTACTTTCAAATTATAACATAGCATAATAATTATGCTATAATTATTATAGCATATTAATGCATAATTATAGCATAATGTATTTACCAATGATAATAATTAAGAGATTAGGACGATAAACCGTAGGCCCCATCTCATAACCCTTGCTCATATAAAATTCCGTGGTATGTTAAAGAAGTCATGCACTGTTCATAACGAGTAGGGGATAGTTCCCGGTGTTGTTGTCTACCTCTTATGGGGGAACAGGATGTTACAGGTCTGCAGAATTGGCGCCATAATTATGCTGTTGGGATGACCCTACCACCAAGTATTGGCAGACCTAAGTTTCAAATTATTTAAATAAACATATTTTGTAATGAAAACTGGTGTATCCTCTCATATTATTTTCCCCAAATATTAGGAAGGTGACTCAAGGAATTAACAGATTCAGGCATTTGCTCAGAGTTGTAGAGACAAAAGCTACTTTTGGCTTGAGAAAGGTACATATATGTACAGAGGTTATAGATGGCTTAAAGCCAATTTTAAACTTTTAAAAAAGTTTACCTTGATATCAGCATTTCAAAATCACATTTGCATCATATTGTACTTTTTGAAGTTCACCCAATTTCATTGTTAAAGGTAAAGTGAGACAAAATTAATTTCATGTCTGATTACATGTATGTGTGTACAAAATGTGAATAATTGATAATGTAATTTCGCTTGAGAGCTGAGTTTTTGGTATCATATTGTTTTCTGTCTAAAATGAGTCTTGATTCACAAAGCAAAGCTAACTTTATAATAATGCTTGATAACTGATTATTGACTCCTAATACTGTTTAACCACACAACTTCCTTAAATCAAGAATCAAGGATCAAGACCCAACAAAAGACTGTCAACTTACTTTTGAGCAGTATTGTTAGCTATGTACATAATTATTATATACATCTTATTGTGAAACGTACACATTGAAGTGACAAAAACTTCTTTTATTCTTCACAGGGACTGGCTAAACTGTTATCTCAGGTTCTTCTGCGAGGAATTTGTGAGAGGAATTATGAGAAACCCTTGCATGTTTTACTCAGCTCACCAATAATCAGCTCCACATCATCACTACGATCTACATCAAAGACAGAGTCAAAGGCTGCCACCATAAATGTTATAAGCAGCAAGAATGCCATGTTCCCTCTTAAGCCACATTTATACAGTGGGGATAGGTGAATAAATCCTTTTTTTATTTCTGTTACAATTTATATTCAGGTTTCTTCTTATTGGCATACAATTTTCTCAAGGTTTCTACAGTAATTTATCCAGTCTAGGCACAGGCATTGTTATAGCAAGGGCACCCATGGTACTTTGACATCAGCAATGATAATACTGCTGTATATTTTTCTTGTTCTCGAGAGATGAAGTTGGAATCCAGCCTTTTTAATAATAATAAAAAATATTATTGATTTTATCACAGTTTCAAGCCATCTTCATGTCATTTGTCACCATGATTTCATCTGTCTTATTTTGCTGTTTTCAAGGTCATATCACATAACTAACAGGGTCTCTAGAATGTCATGGTAGTTATAGTCTTGAACCATGGAGTACCGACATAATATTATTTTGTTATTATAAGTTGCACATGTTTGTTATTATAAGTTGCACATTGATCCTTCTCATTCATTGTGCTTACATGTACAATGTACATACACTCCTGACCAGTAATTCTGTTCAGTGATATTGGGTGTAAAGCTTAATTTTTGTTTGCTCAAAAAGTAGGTTGAATTGATCAATTCTTCTAAAACTTTGTAAGTACTGAACATTGCTACTGTATTTTTTTAAATTTCAGCCTATTTTTTCCTCAAAATGAAACAGAAGAAACCTTGATTCTTTTACTTTTAGAGGAAGCTATGGTGAGTCACTATACCAGATAAGTTAACTCACTAAGTAACCTACTACAGTAGACTCTCTCTTAACAGACACCTCTGTAAAACGGACTCCTAGACTTAGTCCCTGCCTTTCTTTGCTCCCTCTATTTGACTTTCTATAAGACAGACATCTCTCTAAGACAGACAGCTAGTGCCGATCCCAAAGGTGTCCGTCTTAGAGAGAGTTGACTGTATGTAGTCCAAACAAGGCTGGGGATGGGGGAATATTAAACAAGATTTAAGCATGAAGGGGCCCCTACATGCTTTCTTATTACATTTTTTGGAATACCAGTGGTAGTATTGGCGAAGAAGAAATATGGCTCATTCACTATAAGGAGGGCAGTTACACTGTACTTCTTCCAGGTTTTCATTGTAAAAGGGACAGTGGAATTCACATAAGGCATTGTTGCAGAGCATTTTGTTTCTTCTAATGAAACATTTTGGGTTGGTTCAACTTAGACCACGGCTTAGCAAATCCTTGGACCTCAGATCTCTTTTTTAGTGGGTTATTTTAAGAAGGTAACTGCTTTTCCAGTCTACACCATGTGCTATCATGAAAACGTTCACAATAATTAATGGTATTGCAGATATGATGAAAGCTTTGGGTAAAGTGAAAATGGCTTAGAGCATGGTTTTGATTTTTAATTGGCCTGTTGTGTTTCAATTTTATCAGTGACATGATTGTATTATTTTTATTTTTATCCCTACCAGGTCTCCAAAGATGCAGAATTGAGTCAAGCCCCTGACAAGTCTGCTGCCCGTCATAAAACAGTGAAGGATTCTGAGAGTGTTTATGACTTATTAACGGTGGCATTGGTTCGGAGGGCACAGTATGGCATGCTGGCAGAGGTTTGTAATACGTTTTGATAGATACAGAGGTTAAGCTTGAGTTGTAAATCTACTTACCGGTACTCCTTCTTTAGTATAGATTACAGACTTCATAACAATAAGAAACTACATGTGGTGCATGTATATTATCGTAGCTTAATCCAGACATTGTCTTTGTGGTTTATAAGAGTATAAATCATGGAAAATTAGCGCAAGTTTTTGCTGTTTCAAAAGGTGTTATATACACAATAGAAAGAAGGTCTGTATGACATACTGTGGGTCAGAAGGCTTTGAACAACAACCTTAGAGGGGCTTCAGCCTTAGTTAACACCTCCTTGATCTGCAAAATTCTTTATATCATACTTAGTTTCATCCAATAATTGTTAAATATACAGCAACAGAGGGAATATTGCTTGCTAGGTGGTTTTAACGTCAGCCCAAAAAGCTGTTAAAAGTTGGTAATCCAATAGAGTGAGAAAAGTAGAAAGAAGCGGGTGGAATATGATTGTTTGGCTGAGTGTAGTCCTAAGTAGGACTGTTGTTGCACTGGCAGATCCAGACCTTCAGATAAGGGGGAGTGGGGGTGGTCATCCAGACCCAGAGATAGGAGGGGTGGGTCCCCTGGGCCCTCCCCTGGATCGGCCACTGTGTTGATAGTGTGACTAATGTTTCAACAACCCTTGCGGTAGTAATCATCAGAGTAAGAGTGAGCCGTATCATGTCAGTTGATGGTATTAAACTCTGGTTGTTGACCTGTCTGGCCTCTCTTGCATTACTTAACTTTTGAATTTTTTGCAGTGTTTAGACCGCGGAATGAAGGTTGCATTTGAAGAGTTTCATCTGTGGTTCCAGTTTGCCCTTTCTCTCATCAGTGCTGGCAAAGTAAGCATTAAAAATGAATTGAACTTACAAGTTGGATGTCAAATTTGTAGTTCTGTGGTTGTTTATCAGCCAAAAGTTGCATTCGTCCAGTTAAAAAACTTGAAGAAAATATCTTGGACAGAAGGGGAATGAGGGGGAATAGGTTGTTTTGCCCGATGGTATTTCCCCCAGACTAAGTCGATTCGCCCGATGTGTATTTGTCATTCTTTAAGATTAAGAAAAACGAATAACCATAGAAAGACAGTGACTGTACATGTGGAATCCAAAGTAAACTAAAATGACATCTCCGAGAAGTAGGCTCACCATGTTGTAGAGTGTTGTATGTCATCGGGCGAATTGACTTACGTCCTGGCGAACGCCTTCAGGCAAATCAACCACTGGGCGAAATGACCGCAATTCAACTTTGAAAGCAGAGATTAAATCCAAGATGTGAGAGATGACATTAATTATAAATCTGCAATCAAAAATTGATCTGCACTTTGGTGGCTCCTGATAATTGTTAATGCATACTTATCTGTCAAGTTGTTTGACGGACAGAGCCCTGCAAGTATAAAGAGAAGCTTGGGACCAGGCTCTGAATTGGGGGGGAAGGCTCCGCCCTTTCCCTCTTCTCCAGTTCGCCACTTTGCTCGCTTTGTCACCAATTTTTCTTTTTCTCTTTTTTTGCTGTTTCACCCCGTTTTTTTGCCTTTTTACCCCACTATGGAGCCTGATCCCAGGCCAATAAAGACGGGTTCAAGATCGGGGGAACAGGTGAGAGCACCTAATCAATTAGGGGGATTCTGAAAATCAAATATATGATCACCAAGGATTATGAAAGGAAAATTTATGTTATAATATTGAATATTAAAGGTTAAACATGCTCCTCAGAGCTTCTAAGTGGGTACACAAATGAGATTTACATTTTTGTTACTAACTTTCGTCTTGTCTTGTTTTTTTTTCTCCAGTACCTGCGTGCCTTGTTAGTCCTTAAACAATGCCATCAGCTCAGGCCAGATGATTCGCTAGTTTGTCTTTATGCTGCTAAGCTGTGTTTCAACAATCTTCACATGGTATGTTGTGAAACAACGTACAAATAATATCACCACTATGGAGTTAGCCAAAGATTTGTGTTAAACTGACCTTTTATCTTGCCTTTCACGTTACAGTCCTCCTACCATGATTTTTTTTCAAAAAAATGAACAAGAATGTGAATAGTAGATATGAACGTCCACTTTTCAGGCGTACATGCCTTATGTTGATCGATATAACTGGAAATGTTTGATGTAAAATCTTACAATGTAGGTAAAAAAAAATTGTTTTAGAGTGCGTAAACCACTCTTAAGCGCTGTGTGAACCAGTGTTCACGCTTTACCTGATAGGTTTTCATGTTGATATGAAATGTAAGTCAAGACTTGAAAGACACAGCCTAATTCAGGGTCAAGCCTTGACTCTTAGGAAGGGGCTATCCCCGAAACATCTTTTTTTTAACCCTTTAAACCCTAAGAGTGATCAGCATCAAATTTCTCCTTGTAATATCACTGCTTTGTAAAACACAGTGGTCACAAGAATTACGGACATGATCACACAAGATTAATTTGCTTGATATTTTATCATCTTCTCCCCACTACTTCTGTAGGAAATGAATAGGAGCAACAAATGAGAATTCAAATTTTGATCTTAGGGTTTGACGGGTTAATAGACCCTTCCACGGTTATTTTAACCTTTTACTGGGACATGTTAGCCAAAATCCTTCAACACAGCTAAAGAGAACGCTGAAAATTTGTAAAAATGTTAAGTTTAACTGATACAGAAGTTCGACTGACATTTTTGATGTTCTCTTTTCAAGTTTGACGAAGGTATCACGTTTGCAAAGAAAGTGGTTGCTATGGGTGATGAAAAAGAGTTATCCTCCAGAGGTAATCTGGCGCTTGGTATCGGATACAGTCTGCAGTCTTGTGAAGGTAGGTTGCTGTTACGTTTATTCACACATGGCCTTCAAGCAAGCTCTGAGTTTGAGAATCGCGAGACTAAAAGGGTGGTACGTGAACAGCGAGAAAAGCCCTGGTCTTTCGCGGGTCACTCGCGCGGCGTAACCTTCGCCGACTCTTGTGGCAGCCCTTGCAGTTGATCAGCTACATTATTACCTATTTTTTGGATCGTAAAATGTTTTTGCCTAAATTTTTGAATTTGTCGTTTGCAATCCATGTTAGTCTCTTCCATTACCATCTTTTTAGTTTTCTATTTACGTCTTACGTGTTTTTCTGTGTTTTTCACTGAGACGAATATTTTATGGTTTCCTCCTATCACAAGATTATTTTGTAAGCTGCAAAAGAGTGACTCCAATAAGGGTGAGGTACAGAAGGTCACAAACGTAGTTTGTGTTGTCTCCATCCCTCCCCACCCATCCCCTGTTATTGTACAGAACCGTTATTAAGCAAACCCAAGACAGCCCCTCTAAAACACAGGCGCACTAGACACTCAGGTTAATACTCTTGTCAAAAATATTTTTTGAAAACTTTTTTTTGTTGCAGCATGTCTTAGAGGAGAGCGACAACAGCTTCAAAAACAAGCAACTGATGCTCTGCAAAAGTAGGTTTTTGTGTTGTTTCGTATTTTTTGTGTGTCGTTTTTGTATTTACAGAGTTAGTAATTGAAAGTGATCAATTTTCGACGTAGGAAATTACCCATTTTATGAACTGGACATGCCTTAAGGCAGCCCAGTTAATGAATTGAGTTAGCTTATTTGTTCTTTAATGTGTAACCCAATAAGACCCAGGGTTTCAATATCATGCAAAATGCATACAAATTTCTGTGTTTACAGCCTCCGTCACCACGCGAACTATTGTAAACTTAAACATTTGATTACAGTTGGTGATGAGTGAGCTTGTGTCATCTATTACACCAAATTTACTTGATTCGAACAAGTTATTGAGTGTGTTTAACACTCAAAAGTATAGCTTTATAGAATCGCTTCTTATAAAGTTATTTTTACATGCAAGGTTTCCCTTATGACACCCTCAGAGGGANATTTTTTGGATCGTAAAATGTTTTTGCCTAAATTTTTGAATTTGTCGTTTGCAATCCATGTTAGTCTCTTCCATTACCATCTTTTTAGTTTTCTATTTACGTCTTACGTGTTTTTCTGTGTTTTTCACTGAGAAGAATATTTTATGGTTTCCTCCTATCGCAAGATTATTTTGTAAGCTGCAAAAGAATGACTCTAATAAGGCTGAGGTACAGAAGGTCACAAACGTAGTTTGTGTTGTCTCCATCCCTCCCCACCCATCCCTTGTTATTGTGCAGAACCGTTATTAAGCAAACCCAAGACAGCCCCTCTAAAACACAGGCGCACTAGACACTCAGGTTAATACTCTTGTCAAAAATATTTTTTGAAAACTTTTTTTTGTTGCAGCATGTCTTAGAGGAGAGCGACAACAGCTTCAAAAACAAGCAACTGATGCTCTGCAAAAGTAGGTTTTTGTGTTGTTTCGTATTTTTTGTGTGTTGTTTTTGTATTTACAGAGTTAGTAATTGAAAGTGATCAATTGTCGACGTAGGAAATTACCCATTTTATGAACTGGACATGCCTTAAGGCAGCCCAGTTAATGAATTGAGTTAGCTTATTTGTTCTTTAATGTGTAACCCAATAAGACCCAGGGTTTCAATGTCATGCAAAACGCGTACAAATTTCTGTGTTTACAGCCTCCGTCACCACGCGAACTATTGTAAACTTAAACATTTGATTACAGTTGGTGATGAGTGAGCTTGTGTCATCTATTACACCAAATTTACTTGATTCGAACAAGTTATTGAGTGTGTTTAACACTCAAAAGTATAGCTTTATAGAATCGCTTCTTATAAAGTTATTTTTACATGCAAGGTTTCCCTTATGACACCCTCAGAGGGATAGCACTTTTTTCCTCATTTTCAGAGCACACAGTCTAGACCCTGATGACAGTGAAGTATTGTTTCATCTTGCTCTTTGTCAAGCTCTGATGAGACAGGTAAATTTTATTTATCGACTATTACATATGATTGCTTCAGTTTTCCACTGATCAAAACCGCTCCTGACCTTAACGCTTCTCCTGAACTGCTCCCGCTCGTTTTCCCGCGCCCTTAGCTCCCTCGTATCATGATTGTCTGTGCTTTTTCTGATTGGCTAGGGATAACACTTACACTTGTGAGTTAAGAAAATGCCCCATCATGAGGTTTTTTTTAAACTTGTTTTTAAGCTTCTACTTGACATTCCCTTTCGTAGTCAATGTTTTCTCAGTTTATGCTGCACGTTGCGAACGAACGCAGTACAAGATAACAGCCTGCATAGCTGGAGTTCACGTTCGGGGAAGGCGCGAAAACTGGACCGTGAGCAACTTGCTCCTCACCTTTCGCTTTAACTTTCGCGCCGATTGCGCGCGAACGGGAACTATTGTTTTGTTAACCATACATCACGTTTCCCTCAGTTCAAATTTGCTGTAAGTTGGATACCGTGCGTATTATAAAAGATGGTAAATTCAACGCTTTTCGTGTTGATTTCCAGATTACAAAGGCGCTGAAAAATATCCGAAATGCCATGAAAATGGACATGAATCAGTCGTTATACCTCCATCTGTTGGCTCTGGTACTTTCGTCTCAGAAAAAGGTTGGTATCTGTTAGTCTTGCAGTCAGTAAAAAAAATTTAGAAGTACAGTGTTATAATTTTTGCGGATAATGTTTATATACCGATCAATTAATTTTTTCATCAAGAGAAACCTGTCTTAAAGGTTCATTAAAAGGATTATGGATTGGAAAGTGAATATATGAATATTTTTCTATTTAAACTGCGAAAGAAAGGTGCATGGCTTTGCCAGTTATTTGCAAGGTATAACTGCAATGACGTGAAGCCAATTTCTGCGGGTCAGTAACATTTCCCTTCCCCAGATCAACAGACTGGCTCTCTTTCAATTGAACTAACCGGAAAGCGGTGCCAGGAAATCGTAAGAAAGAATTCATGACATATCTATCAGATGTGTCCCTAATTTAGCTTAGACTCCACGTCTTGTTTGGCCGAAGAAAGAACAGCGAGCCCTACGTAGTCGTCATCATGCCATCTTTATTCTTAAGTCAAATTTTAAATAGTCAGTTTTTCTAGGTCAATGTTATTGCAATTATGTACTCATCAGTTGTCCTCCTTTTAATTATGTTCTTATTTTAGAAAAGAAATAAGACGTTCTTACAACCTCTGTTGATTATAGTTTTTAGAGGCTTTGGAAGTCTGCGATGCTGCTCTTATGGAGTTCTCCGAAGATTTCAGGTTTGAAGCTACCTTTCCTTTCTCTTCTGGTTTTCCTCCTTTGTTAAATCTGCTTTAAACGATTTAAAGAATTCCGCCCGGAAAAGCCAAACACATCTCATAAAGAAACAAACAAAACCGAGTCGAGTCGAGTCGTTATTACTCCCTCAGTAAGAGGAGAAAACGACTCGCAGCAATCGGATGAATTTCAGGCTAGGGTCATATGTGTTCGTGGTCCCATTTAAATTCTTCGTGTTCGTGACATTTTGAACATAGCATCTTTCTTAAAAATTATATCTTTTTGAATTCCAACGAGATTCACTTCGTGCAAAGGGAGGACTGCAATGTTTTTTGACCTTTCTCCAATTGATATACATCTTTTCACATCTTTTTATTGAAAGGTTTTTAGGTTTTTTAAGCACACTGATCTTTCCTTTATTTAGTTTGCTTCTTCTGAAAGTGAAGTTGGAACAGGCATGCGTGGGAGGAGATCAAGCATTGATCACGTGCAAACAGCTGCTAGAGACCTGGAAACAAGTGTACGATTCTGACCTATCAGGGTGAGTCTTGTTCAACAAGCTGGTTTATTACGGTTATCGTAAGGAACCCGTCTCCTAATTTGGTTGTATCGCTAAAAACTTCGAGATCGCACGATGATACATTTTCCGATCGTCCTACTTTCTTTCGGACAGCCACTGACATGGCGCTGGTAAAGATATAGTGCAAGACAACGAAACTTGATTTATTCCTTCAAAATGCGGGGAGAATAGGTACGGGCATTCGGCGAAAAGATTTTTGGGATCGTATGGGTGGACCTAACAAGCGATGATTGGTTTAAGGTTGCCAGTAGATATTATAAATCGACCAATCATAACTAACACCTGTCTACCCAAACGATCCCACAAATCATTGCACCGAAGGCTTGTACCCATTCTTCTTGTAGTTTATGAAGCGGCAAATAGAGACATACCAACAAGTCTTACACTGAAATGCGAGCAATCAGAGCGAGAGTGAAATATTACCGCAGTTCTTGTAGTTAATGCTAGTCGTAGCTAGAGAGATGTTAGACAATCGTCCGATTCAAGAATAGATTTTTTTGCTGTGCAGGCTCGATGTTGGAAGTGCCTTTTTGCAAAGTTCAGTTTTTTTCGATTCTCATCTCTCGTGTTTCAATCGCAGGTCCGTGGAACTTCAGCGGGCAGGGTCGGGTTTGTTAGACAAAGTCATCACAGACACACGAAGCCTAAAGCAGATTCCTCTCACAGAGTTCAGCAGTGATAAGGATTCGGGTAAGTGGTCGTTTCTACGTCAGCACTGAGGCAATTTTTGCTAAATTCGAGCCATTTACTTGACTTAAAGCGGAAGAAACCATAGCTGTTATAAACTGAGCAACAGACACAACAAGGAAAAGGTAATTCATTGGACAACACAGCCGCATTGGATACCCATGCCAAAGACATAGAAACATGTCAGATGCAAAAAGCATGATTTGTTAGTATGGCTAAAATATAGTGAAAGGGTTTATGCTTTTTGAACCATTTTTGCAACAATCCACGCATCTAAAACAACAAGAGTAAACTTAACACACTTAACACGCTTAACAAACATTGTTTTTTAGCGGACGGTGCGGGTTCGATAGCTGCCTCAGTGCGCCTTGAGCAGGCACTTTCAGATGAAGCAGCATCGGCTTCCGTTAAAATGAGTGTCCCTGTGGTACTGGCTCTGCAGGCAAAACTGTGGCTCGCCATCGGTAAGTTCATAAAACCACTTGTACTTTCCAGTAGTAGTGATTATTTTCTCCCTGTAATGTCAATTCATTTTCTCCCGGATACATGTGGACAATTAAACCATGACTAGAGTCTGAGACAAAAATAGTTGGGACACTTCCACTGAACACAGTTTTTTTTTCTTCTCGCCCGTTTTCCCTCCCTCCCAATGTTGTTTATCGCAGTTAAATCGAAATTTTATACACCAACATTGAGTAAGCGAGAAGACAAAAAGTTTCCCAACAATTTTGACTGAGACTGTAGCTGTACAACGGTCGTTGGTGATAGAGAGATCATCGTTAGAACTGCCAATAAAGTAATATAAGAGTGGCCAGTAAGAATTATTTAAGTGCCCTTTAAGACCTTGTCACACTCGGCAATTTTTCTGCAACTCTTGTCGCGAAGTAATTGCGATATAACTTTGCATGAAAAATTACCGAGTGTGTCAGGGGCTTAAGGAATTCAACATTCCTCAGGATAATCTGTTCATGTTGTCCTTCAGCAGCATAATTAAAAATATACCGCTGTTTCGAGAAAGGTTGTCGGAAAAAGTGCACCCGACAATCCCGAAAGGTATTGTGGGTTGTTTTTAGTTCACTGTTTTTCAAAGAAATTTCAAACAATGGCAAGAGAGGCCATGGACGTAGGTTTGCGAGTGCTAAAGGAAAGCAATAAAAGTAGGTTCGACAGCTACAGTGTCAGGAACAGTGTATTGATCATATCCCATATTACCTTTCGAGATTGTCGCGTGCACAGTTTTTCCGACAACCTTTCTGGAAATAGCTGTATAAAACTGTTCTGGCGAGGCCTTAAGCTGCTGTTTAAAAAGTAAAAACTAAAATCCAAGCTTTCGCCGATCAACGGCATCATCAGGGATGATCCTCAGGATGATCCTCAGGATAATCTTCAGAAAATCTGCTGAAAATCATGACCATTATTTTGCTTTGGGTTTCTTCATTTATCCAGCTGACGTGTTTATCTCTATGGAGAAGGACGCTGAGGCAAGCGCATGTGTACAGGAGGCTCACTTAATATTTCCCATGTCCCCGGATGTTTTGTTCCAGGTATGTTGTTATCTTTCAACAAAACCTTTCGTCCATAGAATACGACATAACAAGCTTGAACCAGAAACATAAATCTGATTTTTGTTAATTTTGGAAAAATGACACCTAACTGCTATGACTCGATAACACTGCCATTTACGATAAGCGGAATAAGCGGTAATATAGGTGGGAATGGAGAATTAGAGGAATAACTCAAAATAACAGAAATCTTCATTGTGCGTGACAGTAATTCTCATTGAGCGTTACTGGAAATCTATCCTGATATTAAGTTCAACCAGTTCTATTTGACAAGGAGTTCCTGAAATATATTAAAACGTAGCACGAAAGAGTCCTGGCTGTTGACTTCAATGTCTTAAAATCATGCAGCAGACTACAAGACCTATTAAACCACAAATGGTAGCCCTTGAAAGCCTCGACGATTCCGCTCACAGTTATTTTAGCGTTTTACCATTTTTAACCGTAATAGCTTTACCATCAGACAGTTTAGTTGGGGCTTAAATAAAAACTAGCTTTATGATGAATTCTCACTCGGAATAACTTCAAACTAATGTCTTTTACTTTATGTTCTTTNTAAATCTGATTTTTGTTAATTTTGGAAAAATGAAACCTAACTGCTATGACTCGATAACACTGCCATTTACGATAAGCGGAATAAGCGGTAGTATAGGTGGGAATGGAGAATTAGAGGAATAACTCAAAATAACAGAAATCTTCATTGTGCGTGACAGTAATTCTCATTGAGCGTTACTGGAAATCTATCCTGATATTAAGTTCAACCAGTTCTATTTGACAAGGAGTTCCTGAAATATATAAAAACGTAGCACGAAAGAGTCCTGGCTGTTGACTTCAATGTCTTAAAATCATGCAGCAGACTACAAGACCTATTAAACCACAAATGGTAGCCCTTGAAAGCCTCGACGATTCCGCTCACAGTTATTTTAGCGTTTTACCATTTTTAACCGTAATAGCTTTACCATCAGACAGTTTAGTTGGGGCTTAAATAAAAACTAGCTTTATGATGAATTCTCACTCGGAATAACTTCAAACTAATGTCTTTTACTTTATGTTCTTTGCAGCGTGGTCGTATCTATGAGATTCAAGAAAAATACACCGATGCTAAAAACTGCTTTGATAATGCGATCGCAATAAACCCTGCGCATGTTCCCAGTATTCAACACTTGGTAAGATTCATCTCCCTCCATTTTGAACCAGTGAGCTTGTCTAGTGATTACGTTGTTAGGTTGCCCAAATTGCTTCACGTGAAAGCATAGTTAGCAAACGCGGTATTTTTTGAAACGCCGCCTGGTTAGCTGAGTTGGGAGAGTGCTGGTCTGCTGAGCAGGAGGTCGTGGGTTCAAACCTCGGCCGGATCAACACTCAGGGTCTGAAAATAACTGAGGAGAAAGTGCTTCCTTTGCAATGACATCTGTAAACGGTTAGACTCTCTAGTCTTTTCGGATAAGGACGAAAAACCGTAGGTCCCGTCTCACCGCACTTTCACTGATTTGTTCTTGTGGCACGTAAAAGAACCTACACCACTGTTCGACAAGAGTAGGGGACGTAGACCCCGGTGGTGTAGTAAACCTCTCCTGGGCTGGGTGGGTTATCTGTAAGGACACGCTTAAGGTGTTTCGATGCAGTTTTTCAGAGGCCATACCGATATTTTTCAATCGCCTTAAAAGTGGTTTTCTCCTTGTCCGATCGCTATAACATTTTCAGCAGTAATTGTCTATGGATTGAAATTTGTGAAAATGTAGTTTTGAGTAAAATCGATATTACTATGACAACAATAAACAAAAGACTTTGAAAGTGATAAAAGCCAAATTTTGTGCGATCTAGACCAGCTACTGAAAATCCAACACTAGGAACTTAAAGTTTGGTGTTTAGCAAACAATCTCCGTGAGAAGTAAAATTTCCTGTATGTTTGAATTCGAATAAAACGCAAATATATTTCGAAACTTAAGTGATAGATTATTTAATAAAAACGTTATAAATGACTCAAATTATTCTTAAGTAGCGTCAGAATGCTGCTTAGTATCATTTTGATGCCAGCAAATTTTGGTGTATTTTCGTTCTTGCAATCTTGAAAACCAACCCGTTTTCTCACCACCTGTATAAGTGCAACTTCATTCAAAATTTGGACTTTTAGCGCTTTTTTGTATATGTCTGAAACGACTCGAAAGAATTTTTTTTTTAAATCTCTTCACATAATCTTCGTAATGTATTTAATAAGGTCTGAAACTTTCATTGAGATTTATTCAATGCAACATCTTAAAATTTCAAATTTATTGTGTATCTCTCGTGTCACTCACTCATTTCTCCTGAAATATATTTAAATCTGATTTGTTTTAAGGGAATGATTTGTTTCTTGCAGGGTGCTCTCTATCAGAAAAACGGAAATCTGGTCATGGCGGAAAAGGTCCTCCGTGATGCCATCAACATCGATCCAACAGCGTTCCAGGCTTGGTGAGTCATTAATTTGCGGTAATCTTAGGCCCCCTCCACACGAATCCAGATATTTTCGAAAACGCATTTTTTTTTGTACGAATCAGCCTTCAGTCCACACGAAACCAGTGAATTCCCTCACCGAAACCGCATTTGTTTTGAAACCGACTGGTTTAAGGCCCCGTCCACACGAATCCGCGGCCTCAAAAATGTTCGGATTGTTGTGGACGGTGCCTTACGCACTGGGTACCCTGCGATAACCTGCCAGCCTAGCATATGAACCAGGTTTCCCTGTTATCGACTAGCATTCCATCCACAGACAAGTCGAAGGGCCAATTCGTGCGATAAATTTTCTCATCACTTTGCAAATTCTGTGGGTAAAAATTGCGTTTAACAAGTACGGTCGCCTTTTAGCCTACAAGCAAACTCTCTACTTGGGAATCGAGAGGCGCAGGCGTTTTTTTGCGCCTGAGCTGCGACAATGAAAAGCTTGATCAAGGGCTAGACTCCTCAATGTATTTTTTCCAAATTTTGACGAAGCCGACATTTTGTCTCGGTGCTCGAAACATTTTTATCAAAAGTCGAAAGACAACAGAACCATCAATAAATCGCTTCGGGTACCTGAGCGACAGACACGCGGCAGTATAGGTTTTTGCACGCTGTCCATCGGTTTGCCCTTGAAAATTTAGTTTTTCAATTTGATAACTGGTTTTTCCCTAAAGGAGACCGATTAAAAACAGGTCTGAGTGTATTACCAGTAGCACTTAGCTGTAGCCAAGGGTAACAGACAATGAGGTGTAATAAAGTAATAACCAAAGGTTAGGGAGTGCGGGCGAGGTCGATCGAAGGACGATCTGGCTCCAACTGTGCAAGTTTCATGTGATAGGAAATCAAAATGCGCGCGACCAGATTTCGAGTGTCAGAAAGTCCAAACGCTGCTTTCCATTCATTCTTAGTGAGTCCAAACGAATGCTGGCTACATACGAGCCGCGCATGCATAATAGCAATCTGGAGATTAGGTTTTCATGCTCTTTTGGGCGTTCGCAAGTAAGTTGTACTTTCTTTCAGGCACTTATTGGGCGTGGTGTTAGAAGAGCAGAACGAACACGAGGCTGCCAGTGAGTGCCTTATGACAGCTCTGGACTTAGAAGCTACACACCCCGTCTTACCGTTTACAGTCATCCCACGGTTCTTGTAAAACGCGAGAAATCGATCCAGTGTACACCGAGGCCACAAGCTAAGCACTGAAAAGCATCGGAGTTGGCGGTTGTTTCTGTGATTGGGAGATGTTGTGCGCAACAAGCTAAGGACTGAAAAGCATTGGCAGACTTGGCGGTTATTGCTGTGGCTACGATCTGTTATGCGCAACAAGATAAGCACTGCAAAGCATTGCAGTTAATTCTGTGGTTGCGAGATGTTGTGCGCAACCAGCTAAGGACTGAAGTGAGCATTTGAGTTGCCGGTTGTTTATGTAGATTCCATCTGTTGTGCGCATGACTGGTGTCGAAGATGTGACCAAAATGATCCATGCGTTATTCTCAGGTAAATGATTGGATACAAAAAATGATGAGAAACTGGAGGAGTTTACGCTACAGTGCTTTTGTATCAAAATGAAAATAAAGTTCTCTTTTTTTGTTTATTCATGCTTCACTGTTTGCTCGCGGTGTTTTGACAAGCGAATAACACTCATCTCCATAAATAGTAGACGTCATGAGTTGCCGACCTTCGTGCTGAGCAACCATATAGTCTTACAGAACCTAATTAACATACTTAAACGGACACCTTATTTCTAGAGCTACGACTGGAATCGTCAACTGAAAGTACAATTCTATGAAAAGGTGCCAAAAAAAGATGGAAATGGAAATATGGTGAGGAGTATTTCTCTTCTTCGGGCTTCAAAAGCATTCGAAAATCACTGTACCTGTCAAGGCATGCTGGCATGCTGCCATTTTATCGCAGGTTTGAAACTCAAATGAAACGAACCATTCCTCTTTAAGTAGAAATAATATTAAGCAGAAACAAAGGACATCGCTTCCGATCGCATCAGAGATTTTCTGTTACCGTCCACTTGAAACATTTTTACTTTTTAACGTTTTTGCATAAACAACACTCATGCACACGTCAAAACAATGCTGTCCTTCCTAAACAATCCCTCTTTGTCTCTTTCCGCGAACTCTTTACCTCATTTCTAAGAATTTCGTTTTCTCTTCCGGTAGGGCTGTTTTTCAATTTAACGCGATCTGATTGGTTTAAAACACATCGTTTTCTGAGAATGAGACCACCTTTCAAAGAACAGGTTTCTGCATTCCTTCTTCCATGAGGAAATAGCTCTCTCTTCTTGTACAGTTTTATGCTTCAAGGCATTAAAAAACAAAAAAATGATGCAGCTTCAGAAAGCCGGGACACTGAAGAATAAGTAAGGTATGTTATAGTTACATAAAAACCGCAGGAAAGGGTCCATATGATTAGACAGACATTACATAACGTCCATAACCTGAACCACATTTTAGACCGGTCAGTAAATTAAATAGAGTGTTTTTCGGGTATTTTGTTTAACCAGAATTCAACAAGGGACACGACTAGCAGCTGTTTGATTCTTCACTGCAGGTGAGATTAGCAAAGGAATAAACAGGATGTTCATCTTTTGTGTTTGAATTTGAATCGCTGGAAAATAAATATGAAAGCAAGACCCGATTCAGACCCGATTCAGATAAACCAGCTTAGTGATAACATGAATGATATTTAGACAAGAATTGACGTACCGAAACCAATAGCGTAAAACTTTTGTTATGAAGCCTTCATTTGACTGCGATATCATGAACGGTGCTCCAGACGTAATCGAGCAGATACGGATCTAGTTTGAACTTTTAATGTGAGCGAAGTCGCTTATTTTTGTATGTTCGACTCAGTTAAACCAGCTGGTTAAACTTGTCTTAAGTGCGACTTCGTTTTTTTTCGTGTTTTCGATCAGTTACTAAAGTGCACACCTCTTTAAACCTGCATAAGTTTAGCGTCTGACGGATAATATGCTCGAATAACCGATTATTATGGTTTTCGGCATCGCCCACAAAACAAGGTAAAACGCTTAAATTGTGCTCCTCCCAGCTGTAGAATATTATGCCTCTAATAGTGCCGGTCTATAAACCACACTTTTCTTTCTCGTACCTACTAAATAAACATCCTACACAGTCCTTGATATTGCTTTTGAAAGAAAAAAGTGTTAGTGTTAGAGTCGCAAACCTGGCTTTGCAGGCAATCAGTCGGAGGTAGTCGACCGTATGCCAAAATGCTCTTTACACGAGGACCTCTTTTGGGGTGGTCGGGGCATTCAGGTCCTAAAATGACCACTCTTTTAATTATGAACTTTGTAAATCCTTGCTGGCGCTAACCTTGGAAAAATTAGTACAGACAACAATATTCAAATCACTGTAGTACAATGTCTGATTATGCTTACACCAAAACTGTTTTTATTGTGCTGACATTACATATATTTCGGCACAATGCCAATATAATATTGCTCAAAAATATTCCCGCCAGCCTATTCATGTGGTTCACTATACCGATAGTTTGTAGGCCTACTCTGGGACCTTAACTCGCCGCGAGATTGTGCGAGCTAATGCGAGTTTAGGCGAGTTAAGGCGAGATAAGGAAAAATTGAGCTCACCTATTAGTTGCGAGTTTGTGCGAGTTTGTGCGAGTTAAGGCGAGTTAAGGGAAAATGATCCATCTTATGTTGAGGTTATAAGGCTTAAAACTTATAATATGCTTTAGTAACATACATATCAAGATGCCTTGGAATCTTTGTATGTCTTATATAATTATATATAGTAGGCTCCATGTTGTCCAATTACGAAAAAATTAAACCAAAAATTTCAGATGAGCTCCAAAGTTGAATGAAGCCAAATCTTGTTTAAATTAATAAACTGAAATATTTTCCTAATTGGACAAGCTTAAGTATGGATATGCTAGTGATATGGAGTCCTGTTCTTTATTAATTATATAGCATTTAGACTCCAAACTAGACCATTTGGTGGCTGTATCATAATAATAATCATTGTCATCATCATCATATATTATTTATTAAAGCTATATAATTATTTGGCAGAGTAATAAATTACCAGTAGTGAGGAAAAAAAATGAAAACAAAACAATCATGAATTGATAAAAAAAAATGTAGCTGTAGTATAAGCACAGGTAGGATATTTAATTTAATTTTATTTATTTTTTTAAATCAATAACACTATGTTTTAATAGGCAGGTGAGCATAATAGGTATCACATGACATGTCATCAATTGTTATCACTAACTCCAGAATTGAAAAAAAAAAAAAATTTTGCAGTCTGTGTCAATGTTCTTCAAAGAACTAGTATAAAAATCCGGGGAAGCTGACGAATTACAACTCAGCTGAGGAAATTTTTATGCCACAATCAATTTTACTGAAATGAAATGAAATTTCTTTCTCCTTGAAAATTACGACTTATCTTTAAGTCTTCCATTTGATCCATTCTCTCCACTTCACTGATGGTTTCCCTTGGAGTCCAGCTCAATTTTTTGTTTTCACTGCCAGAAATGATTGCCTTTTCGTTTCCTCGGATAATCTATTCTAATTTCTTGCAAATGAAGGCTGATGCCTTTTCGCAAAGACAGCAGTTCCCATATTTTAGAAACTCCCTCCTTAAACTTGGACAATCCTGTGAGAGACACCTTGATTTCTACAAAAGAAAGGAGGATCAAGTTAACTTGATAGTAAACTCTTGATCATTCTTAGCCTAGCAAAACAGCAAAAAATAAATGACCATATTTTCTGTTTTGGCTTACTTATTTTTTACAAAATGTCAGAAAGTGTTAATAGTTGTGCAGAGGACTATACCTTATTTAACTTGATTAACAAGAAAACACTCTCTACTATCGGCTTTGTCTTCCAAACTCTTAAGAGTTGTCACTGATGAATCTTTCCTGACTTTCCTGCTTCGCATTTTTACAAAATGATCACCGGCTCAGGCGTTTTGTGCGTGTTTTTATGTCACGTACGCCACATTGAAGCTTCCAACCTAAAACTTGCCAGTGGACTGGGATCAACAAGGCTTTTATAGAGTTAACGTTGCAAGGGTAAAAGGCTTTAGCTTAGCTTACCTGCATGTGATACATTTTGAAACTTCTCGATTTAACATCAAAAGTTTTGCACGAGTTCTCCTCCTTTTCTTCAGAAGTTTTCCCGTCCATCTTGAAAATTACCCAGAAAGCATATCGAGGACAATAGGCTGAGCGAGAGGGCCCTGGGAAGACACGAGTTACCAGTATCTTCTGGGTAATTTCAAAGATGGCGAACGAAGTTGGCTATCGATGCAAAATATTGTACCTTTAGCAATCCTTTATTCAGTTAAGGGCTAAATGTAACAAGTCTTCTGAATCATGCCTGGGTTATGGTTGCCAGTCTGAATACAATGTAGGCCATACAGGATGTCACGTTGAACCAATGTACAGATCTTCTATTACGAGGTAAATATTTATAAGAATTATTTATAAGAAATATGGACTGCAATCAGTATGTGGACTATTTAAAGGATTCTCGATTATGGCTACATCCTAGCCTTTCATTGATGATTGTCAGCTGGAATCCTCATTAAGCTTCATCAGATTATAAGATGATACGTAAGCTACTACTCTTCATATGTCATAAACAGCTTGGATGCATTATATTTGCAAAGTAATTAAACTTTCCATTACAAGTAAACTTTTTTTGTAAATCATTAGCCAGCTTAAAACTAAAAATTTGATATTCTGGTGTTATGTTTTTGTATTTCACTCTAAATTCGAGATTTCTTATTTTAAGCCAAAAATTAGAAACAAATCATAGGAGAATATTTTTTTCTTCAATTGAGAGATTCAAAGCAATCTTGAATTTAGAGTGTTTCTTTGTCTTGCGTAGAAGTGTAAGACTAAAACTTAAACTATTTTATGAAAACGTTTTCGTGGATTCACTGTTAGTGCTTTTAGTTAATGTCACTTACTTTGTGGACCAAAACACAAACAGTGAATGTGGGATTTGTTAGACCCTGTGACCCCATGCCTCTGGAATTTCTGCCATGCTTAGCATTGAAGCCTTTTCATTAGGCAACGAGTTAGTGCATGTTCAGGCTGTTCCTGGTAGTTCCATTGACAGTCCAGTTGTGACTCCAAGGCATGACAATGTTAAGTAAGAAAAAACCTCATCGAATCTTTAGTGGTGAAATACCCTTACCACAGAGGCTATTGGAAATTCCAGAAGGATGGGATTGGTCAATTACATATTTTTTTAAAGGTAAAAACCCTGTTTTCCTTAAAAATCACTATCTGTTAAACTTTTGAAATTTGTGTTCTTTGGCGTCTTCCCTTTATGGAGTAATTGTGAAATTACACTGAGAGTAGTATGAGATATTAAAATTGGTATCCACTTGGCAGTGGCGAGATTGGGCGAGTTTGTGCGAGATAATGCGAGTTTAGGCGAGTTAAGGCGAGATAAGGAAATTTGAACATAATCTCAAGTTGCGAGTTAAGGCGAGTTAAGGTCCCAGAGTAGGCCTGTTTGTCCGCTGTTTGAACCGAGAAAAAGTCGGAACACAAATGAACTTAAGCCGTAGCAACACTCGAAATTTTTTTTAGTGTATGGTATAGCCTGGGCCATTTTGTAAATGACGATTAGCCGAATTCAGTTTTTATCTTCGTTGACTAAAAGGAATGCATGGACGAACTTGGTAAGTTCGAAAAATATCTGTCATATATAGAATAAGGCAAGACGCCGGTGCTTTTGTTCGATGTAAGCGAAAACTTCTTGAGCAACCGAATTTCCCGAGCTTCTGCAATGCGATTTACCGTCATATTTTCGACTCAGGAACTGACCAAAACTTAGCTGATTAAGCAAGCCGAACCACAGAATAGCTTTACCAGTTTGGGTTTGGTTTAGCAGAGTTTAGGAACAAACAGTAAACATCCGAGTCAGTAACAACCTGTTAGACTAACATATGCCAGTAAGGCCCAATCTATACAAGAACCTATTTAGCCTAAAATTGAAACAGGTTCTTACATTCTAAAATCTATAAAAAAAACCAGTTTGTATACTTGGGAAAATAAGATAAGTCGACAACATTCAGGATCCTTTTTGGAGACATAGGTGCCTCATGCAATGTAATGGTATTCAGATTATATATAAGGAATAAGCTATATATATACCACTAAATACTCTTAGTTATAATGTGTTTTTTCTTCAGAAAATAAGAATCTAGTTAAGAACCGAAATAGCCTTAATTTCTGCCAATTACCATATTTAAGTAAGAACTTGTTAAGGCTAACTTGGGAAAAGGCAAGTTCTTAGTCGCAGGGTTTTACTGTATCCAATGTCTGACATGTGATAATTTCAGTTTCTTTTGTGCCGCAAGTAAGTCATGTTAAAATAGTTTCTTTATTTAATTTGTTAGTCGTAAGAGTCGTGTTCGACCTGAAGAAAAGGACTTAGCTGGTAATATTTCATGGGTCGGTCAATGCTTGGTTTGACTTTTTTTTTTGTCTCACAGTGAAGGCGCCTCTTGAGGTTTCCACAAAATCCACTTGGAGGATGGGAATATAATGGCATCTCGTGGTCGAAAAATCCAAGGTTTGTGGCTACTGCACAGTCATCTACATTTCACAAACACAGCCAATACGGTATTGTTTTCAATTTAACACATGCACAGCAAACAGCTAGTTGTCTTCTTATTTCTGATAGCGTTCTAAAAAGTTAGGTAAAGTCGGTTTTTTAAACCTCTATTGTCAATTGTAAAGTCAATCGAAATATAATATTAAAAACTTAATGGTTACGTATGATTCATGAGATCTGTGACTACTTTCGAAAGTTTCTTTAATTTTATTGCAATCTAATGTTACTCGACGTTAAATTCGTAGTTTTCAGCGGTTTTGCTTAATGTAGAATCGCAGCAGTGCTTTAATGGAAGTAACACTTTCTTTGGTTTCCTTCTCTGCCGCAAAGGAAAGTCGTATGGTCAGAAGAGACCACCACTAACACACATTCTAAGAAGCATCCTTGAAAGATATCCAGATGGAGGACAAATCTTAAAGGTACCTTCACAAGTTTCTCCTCTAGGAAATATTTCAGCAGCATCACAAGAGTGTTAGCCAGTCACTAGACGAAGTATACAATGTAGAGCATAATAAATTATAACAACAAGAATCTTTGCTATAAAAGACCTACAAGCCCTACACCAATTTAAACATCTCGGATGCGAAATGAGAATTTGTCACTTCATGATGTGGACTTGCAAATCCTGTCAAGTTATAAGCCAAAATATTATTGCAACGTTATGAGCTGATAAACCTCTCTAATTCTTTGAACAGAAATTTAATAAACTTAGCGGTTAACAAATTTCATCGCTGAAGTTAAGCTAGGAGTCAGACTTTTGATTCTCTTATCCAGAGGACAGCGTCTACGCCTACTAGCTCTTACGTCTTAAAAAAAGAAAAAAGGGCCGATTCTTTCAAAAGACTGTGAAACCCGTTTCCCTGAAAGAGCGAATTTGGGGATTTTGTTTCACACTTCATGTACGGCTTTTACAGCCTTAGCTGCTGTACCTAACTTTCTAATGTAGCCAAAGCAAAAACGACTTGCAAAAACTCCAAATTCGTTTTTATAAAAGCTTCAGAAATAAATATCACCTTGCACTGGGAAAAGTTTTTCGAAACAGTTTTCATTTAAATGGTAACAACAAAGGATTTTGTCAAAAGACGCAAAACTGAGTTAGGAGGACAAAACCGCCAGAGCAACTGAGTCTATGGGTGGAAGGGTCGAACGAACACATTTAATAATCTGTTTTTTATACACGCTGCTTTCAGCGTGAGGCTTAAAATAGAATGACTGAATTTAAGGCAAAACAAGTGATTAAAAGTACAAATATGTGTCAAAAACCCTGCTCATTGAACAACTCGATAAATGCAGTTGAAAGAGGGTCGCACGATCGTATGGCCATAGGGACTGGAATCCGATTTTAAAGCTTCACGCTTAGGATTTCAGTTACATTGCATTTTCACATGAGATAATGTCGGCTTATTATTGAAATCAAAATTACTTTAGGAAACCTTAAATAATCCAGTACTCAATTTCTATCTTCACCAAACGAGAACTTAAACTTTTCAGTGCTCTCTCAAAACGAAAAAAATCCAGTGTTAACGTCTGAATTATGGCTCATAAAAATCCATATAAGGTGAAACTGTCTAAAGCCGGTAACATTTACACGAAAGCGTGGTCTTCGAGTACGTTTGTTTATCTTAAAAAGAAACCAAAACAGCAATATTAACATGTGATTTTCTTTTCGCTCATAGCATGAACAAGGCCATACAGAGTAATGAAATAAGAAAGCCTTGGGCATCTTAATATCCTCAACGATTTCACTTAAATGACTGTTTGATTTGTTGCATTACAGGAAATTATCCAGAATGCGGATGATGCCGGGGCGACGAAAGTGTCATTCCTTCTTGACTCCCGTCCAAATTTCTTTGGAAAGAACTCCTTGTATGAACCTAGTCTTGCAAAATTCCAAGGGCCAGCCTTGTACGCGCAAAATAATGCTCTATTCGAGGAAGAAGACTGGGAGAACCTGGAGAGACTGATGAGAAGCAGTAAGAAGGACGACCCCTTGAAAGTGGGTCGCTTTGGAATAGGCTTCAACTCTGTTTACCACATGACGGGTAAGTACAATAACCAGTGCTTATCTGACACTTCCTTGCCTGGTAAGGCCTCAAAGTACCCTCAGGTACTTCAGATTTAGTGGCACACCTCATGAAGCCATTATTGGTGACTCTTCACATACACAATACCCTCGTTCCCCCCTTTGCTGTACGTTAGGATGTATTTTAAGCTTGGTCTTTTCATTGGGGGCCGACGATGACGGGCTGTTAGCAACTCTTTTGCCAGGTTCTTTACAACCAAATAACTTCAATGTTAGTAATAATATGGATACTAGACACTGTCCTTGTTGTCTCACGATCCATATAAACCATGCCAGTTCGGAAAAAGCGAGCTTTTAAATAATGTCATCACTAAGTGAGTTGTGACAACGTTAAATTGAGGAAGACGAACGAAAGTATTTTTTTACGGTTTTTTTTTTCATAATAGCCTATGAGACAAGAACCGAGTTAGCATTTCTGTTGAATTTTGATTGGTTCATATCGGCATCTTGCTGATCCATGCCATTGAAAATTTATCCTTTTCAAGACTGATCAAAAATCTGAACATCAGCTCTTTTGAGTTTTAGAAAAATTATAGAATGTGCATGACGTTTTTATGAGGGCAACTCCTAAACTTTTAATTTGATACTAAGAAACTTCTCTCCATCACATTCTTAGATCTCCCAAGCATAGTGAGCGGAGACACAATAGCATTCCTTGATCCTCACGAAACACACTTCGGAAAAGCAGAAACGGGCCAACAATTTTCCCTCGAAGACCAGCTTCTCCAAGACTACCGAGATCAGTTCAAGCCATATGAAGACGTCCTAGACTGCAGGATTTCGAACCGATATTACAGTGGAACTTTATTTCGTTTTCCCCTTCGAAATGAGCCGTCTGACTTATCGACAAAGAATTACACAGCGGAGAAAGTTCGACAATTGTTTCATGCGCTAGAAAAGGAAGCCTCTGTTATTCTCCTTTTCCTAAAGAATATCGAAGAAATAGCTTTATTTGAAACCGATCAATCCAACACTACGAAGCAGGTGTTTATCGTGAAGCTGAGCGACAGATGCAGACAAGTGATTGGACAAAAGAAGAAATCACTTTTAAAGCAAATAAAGTTGTTAAGCGAAAGGTCGGTCAGTAACACAAACATTTCCCTAACCTTAGAAATTGAAGAATGCTCTGCAAAAGGTGTGGTGCTGACTCACAAGTGGCTGGTTTACCATCAAATCGATGCTCGAGACTCAAACCTCCAACGCCTGTCTTCCGAATTAGGCCTACTTCCGTGGGTTGGATTTGCTACCCCTTTGGTAGCATCACAGCGTCAAGCACTCTCCTCAAATGGAGGAAGACTTTTCTGCTTCTTGCCGCTTCCACCGGATGCTGATTCTAAAACTGGATTTCCAGTTCATGTTCATGGCTACTTTGGTTTAACGGACAACCGACGAGGGCTTAAATGGCCAGGCCTGGACTGTCAAAATGATCCGACCGCTGAATGGAATGTCCGACTGTTGGAGCGAGTTGGAAGTCAAGCATACGCCTTCATGTTGGTTGAACTGGTTGACAAACAGATGAACGAGCCCGGTGACATGTCGATAAAAGCAGATTTATTTTACCAATCCTGGCCAAACCTTCTTAGTGTGGAAAGCCACTGGAAGGGAATGCTGAACCCTATGTTCGCGATTTTGAAGGAAAAGACTGTTTTATGGTCCCTATCAGGCAAGTGGGTTAGGTCCCAAGACGCTTATCTTGACAGAATAAACAGCTCCCGTGAAATTAGGCAAGTGGTTTTAGAAACATTAACTCAAGCAAACGAGTCCGTCGTAACAGTACCACACCACGTACTTGAAGTGATTGACAGTATGAAATGGACCACACTTAGCATCACGCCTTCATTCATGAGGAGTCTTTTGAAAAAGAAACAGAAGGGATCGTGGAATATAACGAGTGTTCCCAAAACGAAGAAGCTTAAGTTACTAGAATACGTTCTCCAAGACGACAACCTGATGGATTTGCAAGGCATACCTTTACTTCCCCTGGCAAATGGAAGCTTTGGCGAATTTCGTTCACTTCAATACAACCGCGACTCTCGGGCTGCCGTTTATGTTTCAACAGCAAGGCACCCACGTTCTCTTTTCTACACCATGAACGGCAACTTTCTTGATGACACCGTTCAGTGCCGTGCCTTAGATAAATTGTCAAGGGCCGCTTTTGACGTAAGAAACACGCAAAAGACATTGCCCCTACAACTTGTGAAGATGAATCAAACCATTGCGATCAATCTTCTACGACAGGTGTTACCACGAGAGTGGTTTCAAGCCGAGCATCTTGCTTGTTGGTACCCGGGACAAAATGGACATCCTCCTGAGTCTTGGTTGCCGTCAGTGTGGACATGGATCCAAAGTGATTTTCCCAATGATCTTTCACCTCTTGAGGGGTTTCCTCTCATTCCACAGACAAACTCAGGATGTCGCACCATAGTGAAGCTAAAATCATGGAGCCTAGCAATTAAGAAGAGCGACCAGAATCTCCACTTACCCCAACAGATCGTCTCTTTGCTGAAAAAGATTGGGTGTGTTGTTATCGAGAATCTTCCGCCATTTGTGAACCACGTATCTATGCACAAGTACATTGCCTCCGCCGTTCCTACCGGCGTCTTGAACGTCTTACATGCTCTTGGTCAACAAACATGTGTTATGAGGATTTCAGCATCGTGTTCTGCAGAGGAAAAGCGAGCCTTGCGCGAGTACCTCTCGTCGACGTCTTTGAGTTCTGATCAAAAGAACCTTCTTCAACACCTGCCAATTTTTGATGCGGCTGACAGAAGATCATTCCTTGCGACGAGGGAGGGATTTCAAGTCCGCACAGTAGCTCCATTTAACTTTGCACTTCCCCACTCCTTGCCACTACCGAATGCCTCTAACATTATAATCCCACGAGATTATCAGTCACACTCCCTACTACAACACCTTGGAATCCAGGGGATGACTCCAACAGCTTTCCTATCTTCAGTTGTCTTTAGTGGAATAAAAAACGGCTTCTACAGTCACCAACAGATTTCTACTGTGATGAGCTGGGTTTTGAGGCAATACAACTTTATGCAAGATCTCTCATTCCGTGCATCACTTCAACAGCTTCCTTTTGTCCTTAATCAGAGTAAAAGATTAGTTACTCCTTGTGAAGTTCTTGATCCGAGGCAACCTGTTTTGCGACAACTTTTTGAGGGGGAGAGCGATAGATTTCCTCATGAAGACTTCGCAAAGGATGACATTCTTCAGATCCTGCAGCAACTTGGAATGAGAAGCTTCCCAAATGCAACGGATATTCTGCACGTCGCTAAAACAGTGCAAAATTTTCCAGACGATGTTGCATCACGTAAAGCGTTGGCACTCTTGGACTTCCTCGATCAGAATTCATCGCTGTTGAAGTCAGACTGGGTTGTTCAAGGACTAAAGAATGAAAGATGGATCCAGCAAAAGAAGGACCCTCCTCCTTCGTATCCCCGTTCCATGCCTTGGTTTGTGGGCAAAGCAAGGTTCTATAAACCGTCCGAAGTTCGCAGCCAGTCAATGGCCTACCTTTTTGGCGTTTCGTTTCCCCTGGCCACTAAGCTCTGCAGCAGTGTACTTGAGGTTGCCTTCGATTGGAGACAGATCCCTACTGTCCAACAGCTTCTTAAACAGCTCCGCTCCGCTTGCTCTGGACCAATCAAGTCAATGAATGGGAGCGAAAGATATCATTTTCAAGCAATGCTTAAAGAGATCTATCAAGAAGCCTCAAAGAACGTTGATCTAGTCATTAGCATGATAAAAAATGATCCCACATTTCCGGCATGGATCTGGCATGGCGATGGCTTTGCGTTGCCATCCGCTGTAGCGTTTGTACGATCCTGCAACATCGACTTCAAGCCTTACCTTTTTGAGGTTCCACAAGACCTTCATTCATTTCGTCCCTTTCTTCAACGATGTGGAGTTCGTGAAACATTTGCGATTTCAGACCTGCTGAGAGTTCTTGCCGTGATTAAAGAAAAACACGACAGAAGTAGCGTGCGTGTTAATGATGTAGCAGACGACCAGAAACTATCGTGTGATATTCTCCAATGGATAGTACGAGATGGGAAACCCCTGGATTCAGAACTTCGACAAAATCTACTGGTGCCTATTATGACCTGGGATAACACCTTGAAGTTACTCCCCTGTCGTGACTGCACTTTCTGTGATGCGACCTGGTTGAAGAAAGGAGGATCAGAAATTCCAATCATAAGTCAATTTCCTATGATCCATGACACCATTTCTACAAGGGTTGCTCAGCTATTGGGTGTCCCCCCAATTAGCACACGTGTCACGTGTGCAGAAGCACTTGGAATCGAACAGACAGGTCCTTATGAGCCAGTGACTACCAGACTTCATAACATCCTGGACGAATACAAAGAAGGTGTGGGAGTTTTCAGAGAACTTGTCCAGAATGCAGATGACGCTGGTGCATCCGAAGTCCAATTTGTTCTTGATTGGCGCAATCACCCAACGAAAAGGCTCCTGGCAGCGGGCATGGCGGATTGTCAAGGTCCCGCACTACTGGTGTATAACGATGCAGTCTTCACGGATGACGATTTAAAGAATATATCGAAACTGGCAGGTGCAACAAAAAAGGAAGACCTTGAGAAAATAGGCCGCTTTGGTCTCGGTTTCAGTTCGGTTTATCACTTCACGGATGTACCGAGTTTCGTTACCAGAAATTATGCTGTATTCTTTGATCCACACACAAGCCATCTGCAACGGCACGTAGAGAATCCTTCTAAGCCTGGAATAAAACTGGATCTGAAAGTAAACCCGGCAAATTTAATGTACTTTCCTGATCAGTTTGCACCTTTTAATGGACTGTTTGGTTGTGAAACGAATTTGTCAAACATCCATAGTATATTCTATTTCGAAGGCACTCTTTTTCGATTTGCTTTTCGAACAAAGAAAGGAGAAATCAGCGATAAGATTTACAGCAAGGAGGAGATTCAACGCCTTGTTCGTTCTTTTGAGGAATCATCATCAAGTCTGCTTTTGTTTGCCCAAAACGTTAAAAAGGTGACATTTCTGGAGATAAAAAAGAATTCTACCAGTCCCACTTCCCAACAAGTGCTGTATGAAATTTGCAAGGAAACAGTCGACCTTCATCAAGGCGAAAAGACATGCAGGAACGTACCTACCTTTCTTCAGTCTTGTGCGACGTGGACAAGGCAAACGACTGGTCAGAATAGTTCTCTGATTGAGACGCCACCCTCTCCAAAGCAGTCAGAGTTGGTAACGATTTTTTCAAAGGCGACCAGTGACAAGGGAACTGAAAGGGAGGAAACCTGCACCTGGCTTGTCACCTCTTGTCTGGGAACTGGACATTCATTTCAACTGGCAACAAGCGAAGAAGGCCGGAAACAGGGGCTGCTATCAGCTTCTGGAATAGCAGGGAGGATTTCCATTAAAAGTGACAAACTAGAGCCTGTTTGTGGGGAGGTCTTCTGTTTCCTACCACTGTCTATTCCAAGTGGCCTACCGGTGCATGTAAACGGTTACTTTGCCGTCACGTCAAACCGGCGGGGGATTTGGGAAAGCACCACAGCCGAGGCTGAGAGTTCCCAACCTTTAGAAGTGAGATGGAACAGACGCCTTATGGAGGATGCAGTATCGGAAGCCTATATAAATTTTCTAGAGGATATCATTCTCATGCAAAGGAAAGGAACGATTGCTTCATGCGAAAGCTTTGCGCTTTGGCCTAATCCAGAAGCACTTCAATCATCCGTTTGGACGACGCTTGTCAAGAGCGTTTATCAACGAATTAGCAGCTCAGGCCTTCCTTTAGTACACCTAGAAGGAAAATGGCTTCCAGTTAAGCAGTGTATTTATCAAGATACAAAATTACAGAAGCTTCGTAACAGTGAAACTATCCTTGCAATGTTTGGCTATAAAGTAGTGCAACTTCCTTGCTTCGCAAAGAAAGGTTTTAAGCTGGCTGGATGCGAACAGATAATCGAAGAGCGAACGATGTCACAGGAAAAGTTTCTGCAGGAGGTTTTTTTCCCTAACATATCTAGGATTCCTGTTAATTTACGGAATCCTATTGTTTGCCACATGATAGACCAATGCCTACTAGGACACTCGCGTATTCAATCTGATCCTCTAAGAAGCCTCTACAATTCCCTTCTTTCAAACAACCGATGCATACCGTGCGGACCATGTGCTGAGGATTTAGCATTTCCAAAGGAACTCGTTAATCCCAGTGGTGCCGCGGCAATTTTGTTCACATCAGATGATAAACGGTTTCCCGTTGGCACGTGCTATCGAAGCAAAGAGCGCCTTCTTATGCTTCAAAACCTGGGTATGGTTGTTGACGTCCTAGACTGGAGCACCCTGCTTGAAAGAGCAAAGACGGTACCACTGCTCTGGAAAGGAAAAACTGAGCAAGATGCTCGAACAAGGATTTCATGTCTTGTGAACTACATAAATGCCAATTTTACAAAACTTGAGCTCCCCTCAAAACCAGTCGAGACAGAACTTAGAAGTATCAGAATGTTTCCTGTCCTAAAAAAGCCTGCAAACTACCCAATGCAATGGAAAGGGTCCAATGATGGAAACGTTTTGCTTCCTGCAGATGACATGTATGGCGAGGAATTTAAGTTTGTCGTAGGATCGTTAAGAGCAATCCTTGACGAAAGCGAGAGTCATGGTTGTGGACAGCTCAGTAAAGAAGCCCGAGATCTCTTTGGATTCAGCTGTCGTGAACCAACTGTCCAAGAAGCCCTTGCTCAGCTGAATCGTGCTATTGAAGTTTCGACAGACGGTTCAACTGCAGCACACTGCTTGGAAGAAGTTTCCCATAGTATTTATGGTTACCTTCAAGAACTTCTTTCAAAACCTCAAGGTGAGATTATTGTTCAGGAGTTGGGCAACAAACCTTGGATTTTAATCCAAGGTAAATTTCTTTCACCCTCTCAGCTCGCTTTCACTTGGAGAGGAAACGGCGAACCTTACCTTTTCGAAGTGTCACAGAGTCTAGTTGAGAATTACGGACGCCTTCTCCGTGAGACAGGGGTAAGAGACCGTTTCGGTACAAGTGACATCGTGAGTACCCTTTACAAGCTCAGTGAAGATAAACATGGTACACCTTTGTCACCCGCGGAATTCAGAGTCACGCGCTCGTTAATTGAAGAGCTACTAGAAGCTCCAGACATCGTCCTTAAAGTGGAAAATGGCAACATCCCTCTACCGGACCACAATCTGGTTCTACATCCAGCAAAGGAGTTAGCCATTAACGATGCGCCGTGGGTAACTTCAATGGGGAATACCGCATATGTCCATGAGTACGTTCCCATTGAATTTGCATACAAGTTGGGGGCAATCGACATTCGATCAAAGAAACTAGCTAAAATATCACGTCCCATCGGAAAACCATTTGGCCAGAGGGAAGAGCTTACCGATCGTTTAAAAGGCATTTTAAAGTCATACCCTTGTGACGTTGGGATCTTGAAAGAACTCGTTCAAAACGCTGACGATGCTGGGGCCACTGAGATACACTTTATTTATGATCCCCGACACCATCCCACAGACCAGCTGTTGAGCGACAATTGGAAAGAACTACAAGGACCTGCCTTGTGCGTTTACAACAACCGACCCTTCTCCGAAAAGGATTTGGATGGGATACAGAGACTAGGAATTGGAAGCAAATCTGAAGATCCAACGAAGACAGGACAGTATGGGATTGGTTTCAACGCAGTGTACCACCTCACTGATTGTCCAAGTTTTATTTCAAATGGAGACATCCTTTGCATCCTTGATCCGCACTGTCGCTATGCTCCTGGCGCGACTAAGGAGAATCCAGGACTACTCATTGGACCAATTCAGCAAGAAGAACGATCCGATTACAGAGACGTATTTCCTTGTTATCTTGAAGATCACTTCGATTTAACATCTGCTACAATGTTCCGTTTCCCCCTCAGAAACGAGGAAATGCCCGTGAATTCATCGATATCGAACAAGCGAGTTTCTCATGATAACATGGCTACATTTATTAATCTGTTTACCTCTGAAGCAAAAGAAATACTTCTCTTTTTGAACCATCTACAGAAAATAACACTTTCTAAAATTGAAGGAGGGCAGCTCAGAACCATATACTCGGTTTCTGTTCAGTTAACAGATGAGGATACCTCAAAACGTACAATGCTTGCGGAACACATCAAGAACTCCAAATCGTCTGAAACAAAGAATATTGAATGGTTCGGAATTACATACTCCCTGAAGATAGAGGACACCATTCGAGAAGAGAAATGGATCATTCATCAGTCTGTCGGTTTGAAGACCAATGATTTGAATAAAAATATTCCGGACGGTCGACAATATGGTCTTCTACCTCGCGGTGGCATAGCAGCCAAGGTATCAGAGAAGTCAAAGGTTCCATCATCATTACCATTCACCAGGAGATTGGAGACTAAATATAAAGCTTTTTGTTTCTTGCCATTACCGTTAAATACTGGTCTTCCTGTCCATGTTAATGGTCATTTCTACCTCGATTCAGCCCGACGTAACTTGTGGCGCGATGAAAACGAAGAAGGCTTTGCAAGCCAGTGGAACCGTTTTCTTATGACAAAGGTTTTGTCTCAAGTATACGTTTCACTGATGTTGGTGGCACGTGATTTCTTGCCCAGGATGAAAATAGAAGGAGTTGGCTACTTTTCTACGGAATTTGATGTCCATGAAGGAATGCGTTGGTATCATCAACTCCTCCCTCGCCTAGACTCAGTCTCAAGCCAGTGGGTCGTTCTAGCAGAGGATGTATATCGGAGGATTTGTAGGCAAGACGAGAGGTTACTTCCTATGGTAAAGAAGATCCCCTGTAAAACAATGTTGGATTGCGAAGCTGCTAGCCAGTTGTCAAGTAACAAAAGCTGTCAAGAAGTGATGCGGACAGTGTCGGATTGCCAAGCTGCTGGCCAGTTGTCAAGTACAAAATGCAGTAAAGAAGTGACGCAAACAGTGTCGGATTACCAAGCTGTTAGCCAATTGTCAAGTGAAAAATGTGGTAAAGAAGAGGCCCGATCAGTGTCGGATTGCCAACCTGTTAGCCAGTTGTCTGGTGAAAAATGTGGTAAAGAAGAGGCGCGATCATTGTCGGATTGCGAAGCTGCTAGCTATTTGTCAAAGGAACAATGTGGTAAAGAAGAGGCGCGATCAGTGTCGGATCGCCAAGCTGCTAGCCGGTTGTCAAATGAAAAATGTGGTAAGGAAGTGGTGCCATCAGTGTTGGATTGTCAAACTGCTAGCCAGTCGTCAAGTGAAAAAGGTGGTAAAGAAATAGCGCGATCAGTGTCGGATTGCGGAGCTGCTAGTCAGTTGTCAGGTGAAAATTGCGGTAGAGAAGTGACGCAGTGTTTTTGGCTTACTCCCTCTGAAGGGTTTTTCAACACTATGATGGTTTCAACCGACACAGACGTTAAACTCTGTAAGATCTTGGTACAAGTTGGCTTTAAACTTCTTTATTCTTCCCACGGCGTGTTTAGGGACTTCAGACGGGTAGATGAAAGAGTAAAGCAGATCACTCCCGAGAGTGTTCTCCAATTTCTGAAAGAAAATCCAGCTAGTTTCGGAAAGCTGCCTTGTCCTGTTAGCAAGACGAGACTTGAATCTGTAGTTGGTGTGCTTTGTCTTTTGAGCTACTGCATGAAGGCTCCCAAGTTTGCAACAGAAATGTTTAGATTGCCATTGTTGTTAACGGAGGACAACGTTCTCAGGTGTTTTGAAAAAGACAGAGCAGTGTTTTTGAGCCGTTTTGCCGATTTGGTGCCTAACGAGAAGAGTCGGTTTATTCACCACACTCTTACTAGGGGTTTACTTGATATCGAGAAAGAAATATTTTCTGCAGATCAGCTTGTACTAAGGGAATTTGACCTTTCCGCGCTAGCATCACTGCTTCCAAGCATTCAAAGCGCCAGTTGGTGTGAAACAAACAATATCATTCCGTGGGATGCCAGTAGTGGGCCTTCAGAAAAATGGTTACAGCGAGTGTGGGAATTCATAATCAAGGTTCACAGGAAGAGTCCAAAGACATTTTCCCTTGACCCTTTAAGTAAATGGCCAGTTATACCAACCAAGTCGAGAAAGCTAGCTCCTCTTTCAAAAGGCAAAGTAATCCTAGACTTGACAACTCCAGAGTCGTGGTCGCCTGGCCAAAAACACGTTATGGAATTGTTATGTACCTTGAAATGCCACGAGGTGGATGCCAAACTGATCAGCAGTGACGGCAGATGGGATATACCACCAGCAGTCAAACAATATCTTTCTCAACCAAACTCCTCGGAAGACATACTCAGGGTGCTGGACCATCTGATGAAAGAAACAAACATATCAGGGAGGCTTACTGAAAATGATATGATCTCTATCCTGCAGTTCCTTCAAGAAGATGTAACTTCGTTGAAAAGAAGCCGACATTTATCAACTGTAAAGCGACTTCCATTTTTCAAGACGTTTCACGGAATCTTTGTAACCCTTGAAAATGTTTCGTCAATCTATGTCATCCCAACAGGGCTACCTAAGAAGGAATCCGATGTATGGATGACAGGTAATAACTGTTTGTTCTTGGCACCTGAACCTAGGCTTAACCTCCTGTATCAAGAGTTGTTGGGCGCAGGGGAAAAAACTCACACAGACTGTTACATCAACTTCATTTTCCCTAAGTTTCCAGAACTTGAGCAAGAAACCAGAATGCTTCACCTTAACTACGTCAGACGATACCTACTTCAATCATTCCCCAATGAAAGCCAACGCCCCAGGATAATACATTCTTTGCAAAGCTTAGCTTTCATTCCAGACGCGTCTGGTATACCGCGCACTGCGTCTCATTTTTATGACCCAGGAGTGAAAGTTTTTGCAGTGATGTTGGGTCCAGAATCAAAACCACCAGAACCATTTGATGAGAGGTCTGGCTGGCTAGACCTCCTTCGTGAAATTGGGCTGAAGCAAGAAGTAAGCAAAGATCTGTTTTTAACTTTCGCCAACGAAGTGGCAACACAGGCATTACAAACAAACAAGTCAAAACGCCCTGAGTTAGAAAAGAAGTCCCAGGCACTAGTAAAACACCTTCTAAAGGAGAAGACTCTACATGATGAAAGATTTCTATTCAATATCTCTACAGTCAAGTTTGTTGCCTCTCAAAAGGCAACTGATGAACTGCTTTTCCTTCACAAGCAACATTTAGTTGAAAGCGGAAACAAGGAGCAGCTTCCACCCTTTTCTTCTTTCAATAATTCGATACCACACACTTTTGAGAGGTTAGTGTGGACATCGGCGTGTCTTTTACCTTCCTGGGCCGTTCCAGACAACAAGTCTTCAAAGCTAGCTAAACTGCAGGTTTGCCAGAAGCCCACTTTGGATCAAGTCGTCGACAACGTAGTAAACTTGTCAAAGAGTCTCTCTAAGCGTGAAGATCGAGAACAACCAGAACCAAGACGTCGACTTCTAAACCAAGTTATGATTGAAGTGTACACGTTTTTGACAGAATTGAGCAACTGCGGGACGAGCGATTCTTCCGAGTCACATACACCAGCCTGTGACACAATCGGCGAGCGGCTCTCTTGTAGTCCTTGCATTCTGGTTGAAAGTGGGCGCGTGTTCGTTCGTTGTGACCAGTTGGCCTATGACCTTGATCAAGAGCTACCTCCATATCTATACAGAGTCCCCCGAGAATATGGAGCTTTCGAGCACTTGTTCAAGCGACTCGGGGCAATGGAAAAATCAACTCCAGTGCAGTTTGCAAAACTTCTGAGCCGACTTAAAGAGTTATGTGGTGAAGAGAAGATGCTTGTCAACGAGATGAATGCCGCAAAGCATGCTGTATTTGGACTGTTTACTACATTGTTGGCCTCACAAAAGCAACATGGCGGCGAAGAGAGATGCCCAGGCAATCCTTTAGCCGCAATCAAAACGTTATATCTTCCAAGCAAACAACAGAAACTTCACAAGTCGGTAGATTTGGTACTGTTTGACTGTGTTCGGTACGCCGGTCGTGTACCGGATTCAAAGTACGAGTTTCTCGATGGACTGTGGAAATACGACTTAACATTTGCAACTCCTGAGCAACTTGTTGATCTCTTGCCTACGCAGTTACAAACAACGTCTTTAACATCGCTGGTGAAGGAGGACCTTCATCCAGAGTGCAAAGATAAGAAGTGCCGAGCTGATGTGGAGCGGAAATGCCAAGCGACAGATCTTCTTCGACAAGTAGTTTTCTCCTCACAGCTTGTGGACGGTATCTTGAGAATACTTAAGTCACAGTTTCAGAAGGCTAAATTGGACGATAAAGTTCGCAACAAAGTTCGTAGTTTTCAAGAGGAACTAGGTATGAGTTGCATGGAAGTATTGTCCACTCAATTATTAGAGAGGGAGTCAAATACGCCGATCCCAAACAGCCAACGTTCGAAGCGTATTGATTGTTTCGTAGGTGAGGAAAATGGCAAAAAGCACATATTCATCAAACATGGTGCCGATACTAGTGACGTTCGCAGGGTTCTGTGTAAAGAGATAAACCAACTGACTGGTTGCTACATTAGTGAAGAAAGCTGGTTGCATCTGGCTGCAATTCTAGACTGCAAAGCTCCCGACGACATTCCATCCACTTTGGACAACGCTGGTGTGGCAGAAGACGTGGAAGGGGGTACTACACCACGATTAGAACCAGACCTTGGCTCGGAAATTCCAGAAGAGTTGCACTACCTTCTTGTACAATTTGACGATTTTTATTTTCGGACAGGGGAATTCGTTGCGTTTGAACGGGAAGACTCAACAGATGAAGAACCAAAGTACATCTACGCAAGGATTATCCACCCTCTCAAAACTTCACATCCCGTCAAAGCAAGAAAGGATAGGACGAAGAGGAAGCAAAAAGGAGAAAGTAATCTTCTAAGCAGGTATCTGATAGATATTGGACATGAGAGAAAAGAAGTGGATGTGTTAGATCTGTACAAGATAAAGCGGCCACCAAAACAGAATCTTGAAGAGGAGGATGAAATGCAAAATGAACCTGTTTCAGAGTCAATGGAGCTTGTGCCTTACAGTGGGAATAGTGAACAAAGCAAGAAATCTACATCGCAACCGTCGACATCATCCCAAGGTGCAGCAGAAAGCCCCAAACCGACAACGTTGGAAGATGCGCTAAAAGAGGTCCGGAAAGCCTTGAAAGAAATTTGGAAGCTTCCAGAGGATAAGAAGAAGAAAGCTCTAAGGCGACTCTACCTCCGCTGGCATCCGGATAAGAACATGGACATGCAATACATTGCAAATGAAGTCATGAAGTTTATTCACAACGAAGTTGACCGATTAACTAAAGGTGGGTCAGCAAGTCATGAAGATGACTCTGCCGGTGAACGTGCGGATTTCTCCGACTTTTTTAGGAGCTGGCATCAGAGGGCTCGACGACAACGTTCAAGCTACGAGAATTTCCGTCGCCACAATCCTGGGTTTTCAGGTTTTACGTCATCATCCAGGAGACGTTACGCAGGACCCGACCTTACCTTATCTAGGATTTGGATGAGTCAGAGCAGAGAGGACCTTCGTTCGGTGAAGCACCTCTTGACCGCTCGAGATCCACTGTATTACCTAGTGTGCTTCCAGTGCCATCAAGTTGCCGAGAAAGCTCTCAAAGCAGCACTTTATTCACTATCAGGAGTCGCGGAGAGCCAGCTTAGCAGCAACGACTTGGTGAAATTGGCCCATGACCTGTCCGTGTTGCCAGTAGCCCCGGATGTAACTCCACAGGTTGCCAAGCTGTCCTCTTATTATGACACCACTCGGTACCCCAACAAACACAGGCCAGCGAGGGCTCCGGCCGAAGTGTTCACAGATTCACAGCAAGCTCAAGAGGCCTTCAGAGTGGCCACGGATGTCTTGGACATATTTGCACGGTGCTTAGGACTTTAAACCGCCCTCGCCACTCCCTAGACTCGTAAGTTTAGTTGCCTGATCTAACATTAAAAGGGCACTGACAATACCGGAAAAGTTAAGGCATTAGGGCCTAAATTTATCGAAGAAGTTAAAAGACAATGGCCGTTAACCTAAAAAGTCTATGATAATCAATATGACAGGACTAGAGAGAAACTAACAATGTAATAGCATTGAAGATTTCTCCTAAATTTATACTATGAAAACTAAATTAGCGACAACAATTCATTACGTTAAATGTCTTTACTAATAACCTACAAATATGGGCTAAACAGATAGGCTCCTATAGTTAAGAGCAATTTACTTTGTAGATACGTTCCTATTGAATCTCTTAGACTTAAACAAATTTATCTTTATTGTAAAACCAATATAACACATGTATTACACACAGGCTAAACTTTATTCCGATAAAAAATGCCGATAATTAAGGGCTGCAATTCGATCTAGAGCTAAAAGTATTGTGACGTCATTTTAAAAGATCTCCCAAAAAATAATATCATAAGAAAGCTTAGTTTAGTCTATCTGTAATAAACATGTTATAATGGTTTCACAATAAAGATAAATTTGTTTAAGTCTAAGAGATTCACGGGGAAAGATGGAAGGTGTACCTACAAGAATCCCGGGTCCAGCCACCTTAAATTCATTATAGTAGTCTCAAAAAGGATCTCAAGGAAGCTTATCACTTAGTAAGCAGCTTTTTTCTTGTTTGTGTCTAGTTTTATAGCAAATGATTCTGAACAACCGTTTTACTTACTCTTATTTTTCCAATAGTTTCTAATAACAAACTTTGTGAAAAGGGTCAAAACTTCATGCTTTTAAGACAGTGTTCGTAGCTGTGCCGGTGTAACCCTAGAAATTTAATGTTCATGTTGTTAGTGTTAGTTCGGTTTAATCGCTTCTCTCCAATTATTTTCATTGTTTAAGGAGAACAATACTTAATACCTATCAAGGGTATTTCCTGTTACAATTAGCCGTTGTATTCTTCTACCATAAAACTAGCGTGGCGATTTGCCCACTCAGCGGAAGTTGAGGGAATAAGGTAAAGCTTATGCTTTGTTATCACTTAATCAGGGCAACGTATAGCCTGTGTACAGCGTCCCCTTCCCCTATATTTTGTCGGAGTGGAAGGGGCAGCTGTGTACAGGTTAGACGACGTATTAAACGAAATATCTGTTGCGAGGAACTTATCTTTCCTTGAGACGAAATCAGAGCCATCACGGCTAGTTCAAGTCACTCAGTTTTGGTGTTGATACGGAGCATAAAGTCAAGAATAATATAGTTTATAACTTGTATTGACGTTACTCGCGAAATCATTGTTCAACAATCAAATCATCCTTACATGATTGCATATTTCTAGGTCAAACAGACAAAAACGCAAACGAAACTGCACTGTCGGCAACGCGTTATCGCGTGATCTCTTTTCATTCGCATACAAGCTAGGGTAAGGCTGTGTCTACACTATACCGGATAACTTTTTGTGTTGGCACGACAAGCTATCCGGCCGGTTTAGTATGAACAGCAACGGCCTGACACTGGTGCAAGCCGTTCACACACCTCAAGCATTGTGCCGGAGCGGGTGGCTGAGAGGGTTTCGTGTACAAAACCACAATCCTCACTTCTGAATACTTACTTCCGTCTCAGTCAGTTCTAGGCTTCGCTCCTAGTTAGTCACCTCCGTTACGGTCCGGATGCCTGTTCACACCGCACCAAAGTGTGGCACAGAACCTATCCGATATTTGACACTCCACTTTCAAAATCGTCGCAGCGCACACGGTAATTTTCAAGGAGTTATAATAACTCCTCTAGAAGGGTTAATTTAACTCCTTACAGTGGAGTTATTTTTTGGGGGAGTTACTTTAACTCCAAAAAGGAGTTTTCAGAACTCTTTTTCAGGAGTAAAAATTATCTCAGATATTGGGGAGTTAAAATAACACCCAAAAGGAGTTATCTTGTACCTAAAATTTTTACTCCACTTTTGGAGTTAAAGTAACTTCAAAAAGAGTAAAACAACCCATGGAGGGAGTAAAAATAACCCCACGTTCTGAGTTATTTTAACTCCAGACTGGGAGTTAAAAGAACTCTTTTTCAGGAGTAAAAATGACCCCAAAATTTGGAGTTGAATTAGGAGTTAAAGTAACCCAAAAAAAGGGGTTATCCTGTACATAGAATTTTTACTTCATTTTCGGAGTTATTATAACTCCTTAAAAATTACTGTGCAGCTTTGCTCCGTTACAGAAATCGTGCCGAGATCACCGTTCTTACGGGTGAACAGAAGCCCTATCACGTATAGTTTTCGTGCCGGCACAGAGCCATCCGGTATAGTGTGAACACAACCTCAGCAAACAGCAAAATGTCAATGAGAGTCAGAATATTTGATAGTGAAGTCGCTGCTGAGAGCGGAAGGTTGTGATTAATTGATAGACATCAATTTATATTTTTCAGTATATACATCTGACGTTTATACCAGTTGCAGACATTTTACAAATTTTTACTGTTTAATGTAGAATTTGACTAGTGAGATTCAGACATCTTGAAAAGTTTTTCCCAGGTTTGGTGCGAAATTTAAGCAATCAAATGTATCTATGGTGAATACCTTTGTGTTAATGTAGTAAAGGCATAATTGTGCTGCATTAAAAATGCCTGTTGATACTTATTCGGCAATGTGTTTTAGAGCTCTTAGAGCCATCTTGCAGATGAAAATGTCTTTATGTTCTTTCGTTAGATTTTTTTAATAAACTTTTTGCCCTACACTGCTAGCAGGTTTCTATCAAGAAAAAAACGATCTGATCCGAAAATGCTAACAAAAACATATAACAAAGGAGTCTAACGGGTTTCATAACCATTCCACTTTAATAACTATGCCTCTATCTATAACAGAATAGGATAAGCACGCTCCTGTTTTGGAAACTAAAAAAAAAGACGAAATTTGCATTCAAACCTGGGGCTACTGCCATGTATGGGCTATAAGACTCTAGGTGGGCTATATATAGGTATGTGCTGCTGTGAAGGGTATGGTTTTCAAGCTGTTTAGTCGGGGATAGGGTATAGAATTCAGAATAGAATAGGGTATCATTTTCAAGAAAACTGATCAATTAGTTGAAAATTTTAGGCTAGACTAGGGAAACCTAGAAAGACTAGGGAAACCTCCCCTGGGCATAAAATATAACTAGGACACAAAAAATTAACTAATTAATGCATTAAAAAAATAACTAAGACACCAGCTGTCTGTCATAGTCAGTCCATTATGATCAAAAGATGCAGCGAAACCTCTGCTCGGCAGACACCCACCAAGACCCACACTCATGTTAGTGTTTCTGCTAAAACAGGTTTGTTGTACAGAAGATATAGGGAAAAAGTATTGGACATACACTTTTGTCTGCTAGTACAGGGTGTCCCCTGCTTCGTACCCAGACACCTCTCTCTCCCTGAAAATTTGTGTGCAAAGGAAGGTGGAAAGGAGGAAATGAGCAAGACGCGGCCTCTCCTTTCTAATTTGTCCTTCCCATGGTCTATTGCATTTCATCATCAGTCACTTGCATTTTGCACTTGCCTCAATGCAACATAGAAGGTGCCTGAGGAGGAGGCAGGGGACTCCACTTATATGAGGTCTGCTTAATACAGGTACAATACTTCATGTAACCCCTGCCTTCTCTCTATAGACCTTCCCTGCACTCTGCTCCAGTGAGCACACAGTGAAACAAGATAAAGGTTAATAGTCTCTTCAGAGTGCCCTCTTTTTCTGTAAGATTATTGAGATCAAACACCCACCCTTACAAGCAGCCATCTTATCTACTTACAGAGCAGGGGATGGTTTAGGAGGAGACCAGAAAAAAATTGGGTGGACAATTTCATATAAGTCACTGTATTTTATCCATCCAAGTCTAGCCTACAAGTAAACTCTCCATTGGAACATGTAGTGAGAAGTCATGCCTGGGCACAAGGTATATATCACTGGTAAGTGTACACCTCCAAGGCTGTGGTCTATGAAAAATTCTAGGGAGCCCTAGGCTCTGAACCTGTGGAATCCAGGGTGCCCAGAATCTGATTTCTGATTTCTATGCAAAGACTGAGATTTCCTAGTTACCTAGGAGCAAAAGTAAGGAAACAGGGGATACTGGGCACTGCTAGAGCACATCCCTGACTGCTATTAAGGAGACACTACCAAGAATCTTGAGGTATCCATTGTACCACCATCCGATCCAACTTGACAAAGATAATCCTTTCCAGTGGCAAACCACTTTCCAAGCTGTTGCTGCATCCTGTAATATCTGTTAATTTCACTAGCTTCTGAAATACTCTTAAGTCCCTCTAATAACTTATCCCACTCAGATGGCCAGTTTAAGTTCTCTGACCTGTGCATGGGATGTACCTCTTCCAAACTGGAGCTAGTTTCTTTGTCGCCTTGTCTCTTGCTGACTAAGATTTTGTCTCCTTCAAAAATGCCTCTGCAAACACTGGCAGGTTTCTATAGTTTCTAAGAAGCTCACTAAAGAGAGAAAAACAAACAAGCATTGCTTTTGGTTGGTTGGGAAAAAAAATCATAACAAGCTGTGGGATCATTTGTTATTCAAGCTAAATAGCATGATCCCATGGCTAGTTAGTAGTTTTTATGCCTGCAGACCAATCAACCATGGCACTTTCACGAAAAAGAAGGTATGAGAAACAATGTACTTTATGGGTAAAGTACGATTGTCTTAATGATGAGAAGATTAAGTTCAGGTCTCACCATTTTTCTTTGTATTGAGCTTGATATTTGTTCAACATTTCTTTCTGTTCCTCACCGCTCATTTCCAGCCCAGGGATCTTGTCCAGTAAAGTTCTGCAGTGTTGGAGCTTTGAGCGGAAAGTATTCACCTACAATAGTCATATTGAACAAGATATTTATTATTATAAATTCCTCTGTTTTGAAGAAAAAAAATAAGCATAACCAACCAAACCTTTCTACAGCATGAAAAATTTGCAGGGCTGTCACCAAGATTTCAAGTTGCTGGATACATATAACAAGTAGGCAGGGAATCAAACAGCAAGGGATTTCTTTTGGTTCTATTTTTCTTCTATTTTCCTATGAAAGTAGCGGGGGGCTACTTGTTATAGTGGGTAGTTCAAAGACACAATTGCATTGCCATATTTCTGATCATGCTTGACAACTACAGTCATATGATGACCGCAAAGAGAACTGGTACAAAGTGTGCTGAATGTTCAGAGTTTTTGTTTTGCTTAATAGACCTCTTTCTTTTTATATTTTTTCTTTGCATTATTGTCGTTGATGTTGCTACCACACAAAACAATTCTAAATACGCAACAATTTCATTGAACAATTGACGATTTGATGCAAAAATGCGTGACAAAAAAATTCCAGAAGTACCCAGTTCTGACTACTGGTAAGCGCTCTCACCGGACATTACCTGAAACCCACAATTGCTCCATAAAACTTACAAATATAAAAAATCTCTTTGTTAATATTTTACATAATTTTTATGAGTTCATGTAGTTATAACCCATTCGTGGCAGTGCTAATAATTCTTCATTGAAATCCTGAGGGTCTCTTTGCCTCCCATTGACCGCTACAACCCCTACTCACAACGGAGCTTGTATTCAGGTTAACGCAGAAATCCAGGCCTTTCTAAATATAAGCTTAGTTCATTAAAAGTCTAAATCGTCGTAACCACAAGTGTGAGACATTTAAAGGCTTCCTAAACCTACGATACTTAACCTCAAAAAGGTTTAACTGCAGAATACCCTGCCACTCAAAGAATTATCTGTGTCGCAGGCTATATGGACTAAAGCTTGATTTTCACTAGCACATAAGCATAAGCATAAGGACATACGCAGAATGGTATATTTGACTCAATTGTCGAAACCAGCTCTCCTCAACCTGATGACAAACAAGAAGGCGCACCAAGCGTTTGCCATATTGCTTTTGATATGTTCCCATGAGGTCTGGGTCAAAGTTAGCCTGAATTTCATCCGATTGCTTCGAGTTGTTTTCTCCTCCCAGCAACATCTGAATCGGCCAGCCGTTAATGCCATCCATTGATGTCACTACTACCCGAAAACTGGTAGTGATTTTGATTAGTTGATTGTCTAAACATTCCCATAATTATGTATACATGTAATTATGAGAAATAGCGGGATTGTCGTTTGATATTCAGTGGATCGCATTGGTGGCCTGCTTGCATGGAGTTCAAACATTTCGATAATCTTTATCGTAAACAGCAAAATATTGCTCGTCTTCGAAACTGAATTGCTAAATTGAACTGCGAATGAAGAATCATTGGTCCACGGCCTTGTGCTTGTGCTTGAGCTTATGTCAACCCCGTTCTCACTAGTCAAATCTACGGCATAAGCATAAGCTGATAAGCATAAGCACAAGAAGAACGAACATGTCCGTTTTTCTTGTGTTTATACTTATGCTTATGTCGCCGCAGTTTTCACTTGCTTACACATGTGCTTGTGCTTATGCTTATGCACCAGTGAAAACCAGGCTTAAGTGAGGAATAAATTACAAACTGCATTCTTTGTTACGCGCTGTAGCTACGCAGTACGGAGTGAGAAGGAAAGAAATTGAAATATAAACTTTGCGTAGCCTTTGTTTTTCAGTACCGCAGTCCAGGTGGCAGGGTATTCCGCAGTTACTCCCTCAAAAATTTAAAAGACGAGAAAAGCTGGCAATGGGTAGCAAAATCTCTTTACATCCCCATCACTGCCACCGAAAAGTGCCATTCATAAATTTGAACTACTATTAATAGTCGCTGTGTTAAACTCTTGGCAGTTATTCCTCTTAAAAGACATAAATATTTAACTAGCTACCTTCTTAGTTAACTCTTGGGGATCACTAGTCCTCTGTAACGCTTGAATCGTTTCAAATATTACAGGAAGAAGGTTAAATTCTTTAGCAACGTCGATTTCTTCGGTTTCATAGGAAGCCATGTTTCCTTTATGTTTCCTTCTTACATGTATTAAGTCCCAGGCCTTTCGGAGGAGTTTTGAAGAGAGGTCACGCAGCTGGAAGATAGCTCAGTGTGAAATAGTCCATTTTATAGCATTTTTTTGTACGAAGCCAAAGGCCGAGGTTGACCTTATTTTGATACAAACCTCCTTGGTTTTCTTATGAAAGCTACGCTTCAAGAAAAGCAATAGTTAGCATAAGAACAGCATGATTATTACATAAAAATGCAGGAAGGTTTGTATCAAAACAAAGTCAACTCCAGCCTCGTTTCCATCTGTAGTCAGCTGTACATGCAAAATGGGCTTTTAGCATGTTCCAGGACTGAGGAGTTCGAAATGAAATAGTGGGGACAATGAA